CAATCTAATAATTTGTCACCAAGAGGTCTCAGGCAGAGTGGAACCAGCAGTTCCAACACTACTGAGTCCTCCATGCCTGGGAACTCCTTCAGGTGCAACACCTTTCCCAAAAACTCCAACAAAGTTTCTACCTCTAAACCATCAACTGGGCGAATGTCGCTCAAAACCCCAGCAATGGGATTGGGCAGTGGAGCAAACAAACCCATTTTGCTCTCAGTCAGTCGACCTACCTTCAAAACACACAAAAAAAATTTTACAACGAACAATTCACAAACTTAACTAACTAAAGGCTCTGGACTGAAATGCCTACAGTCAGATGAGGTCCCAAACAGAAGAACCTGCCCATACACACCGCCTAAGCCACCAAATCAAAAACACGGACGTACACTCACGACATACACACAACATACATACACTAAACAACAACACCTAACATTTGTGTGATGAGGTAAACACACACACACACAGTTTCAATTTTGGGATTGGCCATGCTTTTGACACTCTTGCTCCCAAAGGATGCAAGTCATTAACCAGATTCCACCCGGTGACTCGGCCAAGGGCGAGCTCCTAATAAAAACAAACAACAACAGTGTGCTTACCCCACCACGACAACATTTCTTCAAAAAATTCCTAAGACTGCCAGACCAGCATCACCCAAAAATCAAATCCAACCACGGCCCTTCGTGGATAGAGCACAAAAAACCACGCTCTGCTACCATCTGAGCCGACCCCTCGCACCGCCCCCAGACGAACAACTGAAGGAAGCATGCCCCCCATAGTGACAGTGCGAGTGGTCGCCCCACAACCCTGACAAAAGTGAAAGGCCGTGGGTGAACATCAAAGCAAAACAAAGAATTGTGAACAAAAGCCTATATATTTATCAAAATCAACAAATAACAACAAACAACAATGATTTTACCCATCCAAAGAATTTCTTTTTAATAATCTCTTTTCTGAAAAAATTTAATAAAAAAGAATTTTAAATTTACCCTTCTAAACCTTACATAACTGGTAACTTAAATGTGGAAAAGTTAGGCCTAACTATGAATAAATTAAAGATGGTAACTGTAAATATAGGCTACTTTAAACTTTGAAAAAATTAACAATTAAATAAATAATAAATACTATAAACATAAATAACGAATAATAAATTGATTTGGGGGCCCCTTTTAGTATCAAGTCCTTCGAAAAATTTGTATAACAAAATAAAACTTGCGGCCTGAAGGCACAATAGTTCCTTTGGCGGTAGGCGGCGTGGCGGCTTGAAGGCGGAGTGTGTCCTACTGGTTCCAGAAGCAGGGCGACTGGCAGCCCGAAGAGGGAGAATGTGTAAGGTTTCCCCGGGCGACCCTCTCCGGAAGCAGCAGGAAAAAGCCTCCCATCTGGGACCCTTTAAACAGTTTCCAGGTCTAACTAGTAGAGTTCAAATAAGTGAAGTTTAACCTTAGGCCTACCCAGCTTTTCAAGCCAAAAGTCCAAAACACAATTTCCGCATTAGGCCTACTCGAACAATGACCAGACTATTGATAAAGATGATTTTATTATAAATACTTTTCTTTTTAATTAGGCTTTCCTTTATTAAACTGTCTTTTACAGTTACAATAAGAAAAATGACTAGAAATAAATTAATTCAGATGAATAAAGCTTTAAAAACATAACAATAAATAGACTTTTAAATTTTACTAACTTTAACAACACATTCTGACAGTAAAATTTTATAAAGATTGGAGTTGACAATTAAAAATATGAATTATCTGGTCCAGAAGGGTAAAACACATTAATCAAACACAAAACAATTACATAAATACTACAATTAATACTTCAAAAAACAGTTCTCACAAAATATTAAAAATTCTTTGGCTGGAGGTGCATTTTCAGGTAAAACCGGTAATAACTCCGGTTATTACCAACCAAATTTGCTCAAAATGCTTTTAAAAGTTGTGGCACAAGTGCCCGCAGCTTTTAAAAGACAAACCCATGCCTACCAACTAGCCTGAGGCTAGGTAGGGGGTCAGTTACCTACGGTCACTCAGAAAACAGAAATGCGCTAAACTAAAACTTAAATAACTCGGTCATTTATTATCCAAACTTAATGAAAATTGCAGGGGACAAGTAAGAACACTAAAACTAACTAATTATGACCGAGCTTGGCCCCCAGAAGGTGCCATTACTTAACTAAAAAGAATTAGGCTGAGTGACATGGCCTACATTACAAATAACAAAAAAAACACCTTTACAGGGGACAAAGGGACAAAATTTACATTAAACAACATGTAGGCCACAATAACAAAACAAAATTGAGCACAAACTAGGCCTTAGGCCTAATAATAAATTAACAGGGACACAGAACAAACGGACCATAGCCCGCACAAAAGTGAGTTTCAAAGTGAGTTTTCTTGGGTAATATCTGGCCTAGAGTCTCCGGGAAAGCTTTGAAAACTTGACAACAACAAAAACTACTAAACTAACCAGAAAAACTTGTGGTCAGACCACACAAAGCTTGGCCAAAGGCCCAACAAAACTCCGTTCAATTCCAGCCTCAGAAATGGGTCTAGCGCCTTGAAAAACAAGTAATTGGTAATTAAAAGTAATTCCAATGCACAGAAGGTGCTTAATACTTGTTTTTCACTAGCCAAAACCCACTCAAAGCCTGCTCAACATGTGGCTGAAAGCCAAGACTAAATCAGAAACTTTCTAACCTAAACAAATCAAATAATAATCAATCAACTTACTCATCTGACGACTGGCAAAACACTTAAACCATGTTCAAAATTCGCTGGCGTAGGAAATAAAGCAATTGTCTGAAGTAAAATATATTGCCTTCAGAAAACGACAAAGTTTGACAGGTTAAATTGACAGTCGCTCGCCTTCTGCCGAAAAATGTGCTCGGCAGCGGAAAAATAGCCCCGGGGTCTGCAGGACTGCTGCCAGACCCAAACTGAACGAGTTCCGGCGCAAGGCCAGCACTCGCACTATACAAAAACACTGAGGCGTGACATTGGTGGGACGCTTGGTGGACATGTCACGGCTCATCACATTCTCCCAAGTATTGGTTTAAAGTGGTTCTATTCAAGATTAGGCAAACAAACTAACAAGAAACAGGAATCACCATCAGGTGGACTTTTTATTAGGAAAATCTTTCATCATGTTATTTTAGGTCTACCACACTTTCTGTTCAGTATTGTGTAAGGGGGCAATCAAATGAGAAATATGAGTTATCGGTAGCAGATTTTAGATTAAACATATATGGAGCTATTTAAATCTTATTTTCCTTCAGTCACCCGACAAAGTGGGCTTCCTTACACTGATTATAGTAGCCTACAGAAAGCTGCTAATTGTTGCATTTACTTACTTTGCCGTGCAGTTTTTACTTTGTCGCACACCAGTATTCCAACCAAACAACACAAAACAGCGTGCTTTTATTATAGGATGATATTATGCACGTAATCTGTGTATGCTTGGAAATAGGTTAGCAACACTTAAAGATACTATGACTACGATCAGCTGTTGCAGTTGTTTCCCATTTCGATCAACGCTTGGATTTAACCTAACTAAAACTTGTTGTTTACTGTTTAAAAGACTAATTATTTCTAAACTTTATAGTAACTGTACGGTGCAAAAAATATAATGTGCAACACGAGTAAAAATTGCTTTTGCTGCACTCGAGAAACTTTCCAACTTCTCTCGTGTGCAGCAAAGTGCTACTTCGCGCACTACACTAGGGGCCACGAGAGTCTGCAGTTGGTAAAAGACCGGACTAGCGCGACGTTGTGACATCGCCCGTACCCTAATTTTCGACACTAATAAAGATATACTAAATCAATACAGAGTGATTCAAAAAGGACTTTACAACTTTGAAAATTCATATAAATCTTATTAAACAAGGTACAGAGCTGGTTTTGGTGTTGTTTTGAAGGAAAACACTTCAAGTTTTTTTTTTACCTTGAACTAAAGATGTTCTATGTGACTTCCGTTGGATTTGGGGAAAATAATTATTTAGGTATGAAAAAATAGTGAAAACCGTTAAAATTTGAGATAACTTTACACAATTTTGAAAGTAGGGCGTTTTTTAACGGTGACGGAGTGCGATTTTCGAAAAACGCATATTCAGTGTATTGTAGGAAATTTAATTCCGAACCTACGTTTTTTCCTCAAATCTTTTCTAGCTCTTACCGTTTTCGAGCTATAGCCGTTTGAAAAAAACGTGTTTTGTCGTTTTCAGAGGTCCGCCATTTTGGATTTTTTGGGGGTTAAAATTTGAAAATGTGACTTTTTGGAATTTTATGGGTGGTTTGGGACCAAGAACTACAAGTGAGCGAAATTTCAACTCCCTAGCACATCCAGAAGTGGGTGTACCTATCGCACTCCTTCACCGTCAAAAAACGCCCTACTTTCAAAAAATTCTCTCAAATATTTAACGGTTTTCACTATTTTTTCATACCTAAATAATTATTTTCCCCAAATCCAACGGAAGTCACATAGATCATCTTTAGTTTAAGGTAAAAAAACTTGAAGTGTTTTAATTCCTTTAAAACAACACCAAAACCAGCTCTGTACCTTGTTTAATAAGATTTATATGAATTTTCAAAGTTTTAAAGTCCTTTTTGAATCAACCTGTATTTTCAAATCAGCTGGTATTATTATATTTAGAACAACGTGCGGTCCTCATTGTCTCCTTCAAAGTCACATGGTGAATAGGCTCCTCCCTCAACTGCAGACTCTTGTGGACCGTACTGTAGCTACACAAATAACTATTTATGAACCACTATGATTTTTAAAACATGATTGCATTTAAATATTGGGAAAATGAAAATATTTTCCAAAACTAGTTGTTTTGCCTCCAGGATCGATTTATTGTCATAAAATAAGGTTACTAACCTGCCGTCAATCAGTCATCGACTAAAACTCCGAAACTATAGTCATCTACGACAAATATAGGAGTGACTGATGACAGGTTAGTATTCTTATTTTATGTTAATTGTTTTATACGGTCATCCCAGTTCCCAGATTTGAGAACAAGCGGTCATGGCTCTACAGAATACGTCCTTCTGTTATGCATTCTCCCTTTGCTGCTGTTGACATTAACAACATCTCCAACGATTGGAAAGATAGAAAACCAAACCCCAACCAGGTAAGAGTAAAAGGTAATTTTTTTAAATATCAGTAATACATATTTTAATATGGAATTGACCCCTTTGGTGTCACAAGAAGGGGTTCTTTTTTGAATTGCTGTAGCAAATGTATCAAACACGCTACGAAATTGAAACCTTACAGTTTTAGTAAATACATATGTAAAAAATACCACTGATTGTCATTTAATTATGATTTATCAGGACAAAATCAGCAAAAAGGATTTAAAAAGTCGATAGTTATTATTATAGACATCCTGTATTCATCACCTGTGGGCTATAAACCAAATTAATCTAATATTTATATCTACCACTGCTATCTATATCTTTAATGAAACTAGTTTTGTTTACCTAAGTAACATTGTAGCCTAATTTGTAAAAAATCAAGGATAAATTTGAAATTGTTTTGCAACTACAATGTAACAATGTACTCTTTAAATATTCCCAAAAGACCACTCTGTTTGGCCTATGTAAAATGTATTGCAGTCGTTACAGGATAATAATTTATATACTCCGGTTCTCTTGGTAACATCATCACCTGTTCCTACACATACATACATTCTATACACTTAACGTCAAATCTTAACAGTAAATATTCTGTGATTTTCTGGCTTCTTCTAGCTGAGATGGCTGCCCTTTAACATACCTAAGGACGAGCTCGTTGACTGGGTTGAAGGACTCAACACTGTGTGCGGTGCAGGGGACCCAACTATGAGAAGTGGTATCAGTATTCACATCTACATTTGCACCTCGTCAATGGACAACAAGTGTTTCTACAACTCAGATGGTGATTTTCTGATTGGTAAGCCGGTTATGATGCCATTTTTATTTTTAAATTACGTGTGTGTTTTAAATTTTTAAATAAATACAAATACGGTTATCAAACTTTTTAAACAGCCACTTCATATTTGACTTGCACAGATAGGACCAGTACTTGAAATGAGTAACAAATTTAAATTAATATTAAAATTAAAAAATTCAAGCAAAAGGTTCTGCTTACTACAAAAGGTTTTAACTTACTACCGGTACGTGTTTCAATGCATATGCATCATCATCAGATCACAATTTAAAGAAATTTAAACCATTTTTGAATTGGTTACGTCAACGTTTTCAAAAATCACAAAAACACTGTAACTAAGTACTCCCCTCCGCAGCAAACATGCAGACTAAGCGAATTCCCATTATTTGATATTTTATTGGCTAAAATGAATATTATTAGCTTGGGCATATTTTAGAGCTCTAATACGTTTTTAGGCTTTAAATTCTACATTTTCCCAGGGGATATTCCTTACCCCCCCCCCCCCCCGACCTTCCGGTGGTCACCCCCCCCCCCCAAAATGAAATTCTGGGACACTGTCAAAGACTTATTAAATTATAAAAGTACTCTTCAAACAAATATATTCAAATCACTGATTAAGCTGGACAAGAACCGTGATAAAGGGGGCCAGGGAACAAAGTTCAGCTCTTGAACCAGTTAAGACTCGACACCCGCCATGTGTACAACTGTCGTTTGTTCTGTTCCCTCTTATAATGTTTTGAGTGATTTTTTTAAACTCAGACGCGATCAATTTAATATAATGGTTTTAATTTCTTCAAGTTGTGACTTGATGATGATGCATATGCATTGAAAAGCATGGTAAAATATAGGAGCAGAAGAAGCACAAGGCAGTTACAGATATTTTTACCCTTTTACAGTACCCTATTTGTCAATGTGATTCGGAATAAACAACACAACATGGAGATATGTGGAAATTTTAAGGAGGATGTCAAATTAAATGTTATAGTCAAATGAATTTGAAATCATATTAGCTCTTCTAACTTATTAACTTAGTAGATTTGTCGTTCTTTAAATGTTAATTTGTTTTAGTTCCTCAACAAGGCCATCTAGTGGTAAAAACTGAATTTGGCATCTTAAGAGTCGAAGTTAACGAAATATGTGTAATACAAGTAAGTACTAAATAATTTGAAAACACATTTCATGATCAGAACCTACACCTTTTGAAATATTTTGTATTGTTATTCTGTGTTTGTTTTCTGTACATATCTGCCACTAGCCAAAGTTTAAAAAATGCTTTACATGTGCTATTATAATATTCAAACATTTGCCAGTTAAAATTAATTATAATTGTTTTGCTACATTAAATTCAAGATTTCTGAAATAATTTTTTTGTCATACACCAAAGCTATTTGTGGTTTTACAAGATTTGTTGGTTTAGCAAGGGATGAAGTTTTCAATCAATGTAGACGGACCATCTCGAGGCTATGTGCTGGAAGTCTATGACAACCATTTTCAACTTCCAAATCTGGGGCCGATTGGTAATAATGCTGGCTTTTTCACTGCTATAGAAATTAGCTTTACTTCAGAATATAAGTTAGTTGGGTTTAATATCAATCATACATATAATCAAAGGTATATAGAATGGACTGAACAAGTTTGTACTCATAAATTACACTATCATATGGTATTTTGTGAAGGATACTTAATGGCCATCGCTGAGTCTGTTCTACTCGCCTAAGAGATCTAAAATATTGTTTCTACTTGATAAATAGACCAACTCGAGGTTGGTTCTGAATCTGAACCACCTAGTTATGGCATGATGACAAAGCAAATTACAATTTAGTATGGTGCAATTTGACCCAAACCTTAACATCCCAAAATTAAAACTACTACAAGTACTAACAACTCCAAACTGTTCAATATAGTACCCATATTGTATGCAATTTTAGGTTTCAGGCGTGGGGGAGAGGGAGTAAAAGTAAAAGCTTTAAAATTTGTACTTTTTTTAGTTTTCATTAAATATTTTGGAAACTATGCAATTTGGCGCAAAATATGCAGAATGATATGTTAATATTTTTTGCTGAGAAAAAGAAATTTACGATAAATTGTCAAGAATGTTTTTTTTCTAATCTTACTTATGTGAACGGTCACAGAGTAAAAATGGACAAATTTTAAAATGTTAACGCTTCAAAATACATTACTTTGTTTTTATTTTTTTAAATATTCCAAGAAACCCAAAAGAATGTAAAATTTTTCAAGTGTGGCTTATTTGGAGAAAGTATATGTGATTCTAATACAGTACCGTTTATCATATTTTTAGGAGCGAATGGCCTAGCAAATCCTCGAGATTTCCTGACACCAGTAGCTCATTATGAAGACGTAGAGAGAGATTACAAGATTATATGTAAATACCAAGGAAGTATTTTTCAAGCTACACAAAGTCACAGTCCTTTCGATGTTGTTGCATGGCACGGGAACTACGTACCATACAAGTACAATTTAGCCAACTTTATGGTCATAAATGCAGTTCAGTTTGACCACTGTGTGAGTATAAAAGGATAAAAAAAACTGATATAAAAGGATTAAGGAGCTTTATGAAAACAATTAATTTACAAATTCTGAGTTTTAACCTACTTGATTGTAAAAAATCAAGCTGCAAGGAATGGGATAGCTCATCTCAGCGTTTCCATTAATAATTATTCAGCTTTATTGGGGTACAGATAAATTACATTGGAAATATAAACATCGTTATTCCTGAAATGTACTTTTAGTTTTGGAATTACCACACGGACAAATTGGTATGGGATCCTGCAGTTCAATTCCCTTTTCCTTTGTAGCATTCAAGCCATTTTATTTAGTATCAAATGAGAAACGAGACTATTGTAAATGTAAACGTTAACCTGATTCACTGATAGTTTTTACTTCAATGGCACATTGTTTAATTGCTCAACAATAATGTCTCCCACTGCTATCAACTGTTCAATGCTACCATAAAAATTCCCATCTTTCCTTATCACCTTGTATGCTGCCTCACTGATTTAAGGCTAGTGTCATAGTTGATGTTTGATTATGTTCAGGATCCTTCAGTATTCACTGTTCTCACTTGCCCATCCACCAAACCAGGAACTGCTATTGCAGACTTTGTCATCTTCCCTCCAAGATGGGCTGTCCAAGAACATACCTTCCGTCCACCTTACTACCATCGTGAGTTGTTATACAGTTTTAAGCATGAACTTGGTTGATTAAGCACATTAACAAGATTGTGCAATATGCAAGATCACAACGAGTTTGCACTAGATAAGAGATGGTGTTAAGACATTTTGTTCACAAGTAACAAGAAATTCACTTATGTGACAACAATAAGTACAGCGAAGCACTCTTGTATGCGTATTCTTAAGGGAACAATTAATAAATTATGAATGCAATGTGAGCGTAAAACAAAGTGAGGTGACGTATATAGCCTAGTTACTGACTTGATGTTTCTTTGGCTATGATCATTATTTCCCAAATTAGCAACGGTGTAATCATAACTATTTGTTCTGTGATTTTTTTGGCAGTTTTTAACCAGCCTGGATACAAATTAAAACTTGAAAAAGCAGTTTTTTAATGTATTTAAGTTATTTTTACTTTTTCACCTCAAATATTTTATAAAATCACACTTTTAGAATTATTTGCGAATCTACATGAGCTAGGCTTTCCAATGACCCGTTATTGCAAATAACTTTATAGTGGTGAGGAAATTGACTAAAGTGGAAGGTAATATTCTGAAAGAGGATAGTAATTCCTTCAAATTGATACCATGCATTTCGTGAGAATACTCAAGAAGGCAGCAAAAAGTTGCATCAAAATAAACAATTTGAAAACCCCTGTTTTCCATGTATTTTTCATGGAAAACATGTTTTTTAAATTTTTCACCATAAATCATAACAAAAACAAACTTTCATAATTATTTGCAAATCTACACAAATTAAGCTTTTCAATGTATTTATTAATCAAATCGGTCCAGTAGAACTCTAGATTTAGTTGTACAAAGATTTTTAAAACTGAATTATATATAAGAAGGTGATTTGAGATAACAAAGATAAGTAATGCATACCAAATATCATCAAAATCCATAGGTGCAGTCTGTAGCTCTGTACACATCTACACAACGGACATCACTTAAACAAATTTTTTGGGTTCAGTGGGGCGCCCAAAATGGATATCTCTAACCAAAACTCAAATTTTTAACAAAAACCATACTCCTCATACTAGACAATTGAAAAATGTCATTCAACTTTAATTTTTGCTCATTTTAATTTTTACAGTTTGTTTTAACCAACTTATCATACAGTTGTGTTTCACAGGCAACTGTATGAGTGAGTTCATGGGGTTGATCTACGGTAACTACGAGGCGAAGGAGGAGGGGTTCTGTCCAGGAGGGGCGAGTCTGCATTCTATTATGACCCCTCACGGACCTGACCTTCAGTGCTTTGAAACAGCTTCTCGGGCCAACCTACAGCCTACCAGAGTGGCTGATGGTACAATGGTAAGTCTATGACTGATTAAATATTGCTTTAACATGTATTTAGCTCTAAATGTTAATTCATTAATCATGTAGTGGGGTTCAGTTTTCCCTGTAAAACATCTGTAGACTTATTTGATGCTTGAGCCAAGAATGTTTACAGCAAATTGAGATTTAGCTTGGAAGTTGAGAAATCAACATGCTAATTACACAAGAAATTTAAGATTCACTGTAATTACACAAGAAATTTAAAATTTGCTGTAACATAATTAAATTTGCTTGAGATTTAATATGTTATTTGATGTTCAGGCTTTCATGTTTGAAAGTTCTCTGGGACTTGGACTAACTACCTGGGGAGAAAATCTGTGTCAGAAGATTGATCCTGATTACCAGAAATGCTGGCAGGGACTAATCAAATACTTTAAGCCACCTGTGTAGATTAGGTTAGTTTAATTAAGTGATTGTTAACCCTCCGAGTGTTCATAGTTTAGGCCTTAATGTCCGCCTATTTTTGGCGCATTTACAAGGTTTTATTAAAACGGTTCTGAGAAGCTTAAAACAATGTTAATTCTACTGTTCTATGTACCATTTTGTTTGGAAAATCATGGGCTTCAATATTATACATAAAACATAAGGAACATTTGTTTCAAAAAAATTTTTTAGGTAAAAAAAATATTTTGGAAAATTTTCAAAAAAAAAATAAGTTTGCGCTCAATGAAATTGTATAAATTATAGGCCTATAAATATTTGTTCTAAGTTTTATGAGGATTACAAATATATAGTAATATAAGGAAGTAGATTTGCAAATAAATAAGTTATGGGCAAAAAACAGATTTCAGTACATAGCGTTTAGCTAAGAATGCATAGCCTAACCATAGCTAGGAATCTGGCTGATAATTTACATCAATATCACTACCTACTTCTTCAGGATCATCAACCAGCCCTTCAAAATCACTTAAATCTTCTTATAATGCACCACGTATATCACTACTTTTGATTTTTAACACTAAAACAATGATAAACGTAATAAAACACATCAGTCATCGGTCCGAGGGTAACCTAGCTGTTTACAAATACGCACGTCAGCTGTCTGCTACAATTACGATCGGCTCGGAGAACATAAAGCGCTTAGAGACAGACCTCTGGAGAAAGCGTAGAATATAACGAAAATAACGATACCTAACTCAATCCAGTTCAATCCGATTCAGTCAGTCATAGAGCCTTCGCCGTAAATGATGTTCGTGCGTCGAAAAATCGACGCGTGACACTACACAAAGTGTGTCGCGCGTCGATTTTTTGACGAGTGACGCTCGGAGGGTTAAAGTTATAAATTATTAATGTAAAAGTGACTATTATGCTTTGTATAAAAAGATCAGGGGCTTAAGTCCTGATTCAATAAATTGTGTAATAATATTTTTAAAAGTATAATAAACTTGTTGAATTCCTTGTAAATCATTTTTTTAGTTAGGGTTTAACCATCATTTAATGTTTATTGCTCATCCCATCTTTCCCTTGGTATGATTCCTGAAGCCCAATTGGACTGGAAAATGCAAAGATGAAGGACAGGAAAATGAAAAGATAAATACCCCCGCCGCAGCAAACCTGCCGTCTAAGCGAATTTCCATTTGGCTGAATTGATTTTCAATCGATCTATTTAGATAACATTAGGTTTAACGAGTACCTAGGTTTGCTGCTACAAGGAAACTAATAAAGTGTGTATTTTAAGTAAAATAATTATTGCTTAGTAGAAAATGAATATATTTGCCAAGTTTGATCAAAAGATATCCATAAACAAGCAAACTACAACATTTTACAATATTCTCCATATGAATAACATGGGAATTTTAAATTTACATTTTTTTAGTTTTCTCCGTAACCAATAACCGTACAAAAACACTTTGATATACTGAATTGTTTGTTTTTTTAAGCTCTTTAAGAAGGTTTAGAGAAAAATTGGGAAATTTTGTGTTTTGAGGGTCAAAAGTGAGAAAAACCAATTTTTACCCCATAAAACCCCCCATAAAACCCTGTTCCCATGGTCCGATCATGCTGGATCGCGAACTCATTCAAGTTAATCCCGCCTTACACCTTCAAACCAAATTTCATCAAAATCGGATAAAAATTACTCAAGTTATCGTGTTCACGGACACATATATATATAAATCTATATATATATATATATATACATATATAAAAATTTTTACGAATGGTGTTTTTGGCCTCTGGGGACATCAAAATGAAAAAGTAAATCGGTCCCGGGCCTAAGTCTTACCATGAGACCTACGGTAATAGCTACTTCCCTATAGGGAAATTCGCTAAAAAAGTGACTGTCAATCCTATTTCAATAATTTGATCCTTTACAGCTCAAAAGACTATTTTTAGGTTGCCTTAAAAAATTCAGAGGTCAACTATACTGACCATAGTATTTTGCACCACAGCTTAGGTAAATTATATCCCTGCCGCTTTACTGGCCAGTGTTACTGACCAGTAGAGCACAAAGGGTTTTATAGTTAATGGAAAAACTAGGTATCTTAGTAAAAATAAATGAATAAATAAAACAAACACTCTTATTAATTACAATATCTACATTTTAATACTGTACGTTAATGCTATACAAACTATCCATATATTGTTGATGATTTGAATGCTTCTGAACTTTGGTTGAATCTTTCCAAAGTCGAGTGGTAAAGAGGTACGCCTTTGAGAACTTGGGACGAAGCATCTGTAATCTGAAGGACAGGAATTATTAACTTTGGAAAAATATAGCCCTTTTTAAATTTATTTTTCCAAGCTTGTTTTGGGCAAGCAAAACACCCCTAACAAAACCCACACCGACTTTGAATAACCGCGACCCACAAAATCGCCAAATTAACCTAAAAGAAAAATGTGAAAAGATACCAATTTAGTTTTATTCTCTAATTCAAAACAAATACCAGATTTTCTCAAGAAAGTGATTAAACCTTAATTTATTATCTTAAATAGCCAAAGCTAAAACATAAAACTTTACATTCATAAAAATTTTTAAATTGCAAAGACTTAAACAAAGACTACCTTGATTTCTCACTTATATTAACTGGTGGTTGTAGGACTTTTGAACAGTATTTAAAATAGTTCAACTTTTGGAGGTTTAAATTATAACAACGCCACATTTTGAAAATCAACAAGATATGCTTTTAGGCAACTTTGGCAATCTAATTTTGGGAAATTTTTAATCTCGTTCTTTGATTGAGACTCTCATTTTATTTTGATTGAGATTTTTTCAAAACGAGATTATAAAAAAAAAAAAATTTTTAACGCCTGCAGAAAGTCAATGCAATACCCGCAATACAGGAGCGTGTTCTTGTTGCGTTTCCTTTGCGAAGGCGTTGATATTTTATACATTCTTCATATGTAAATATTGCTTTAATTGTTTTATAATTTTTTGTTTTGACATTGCAAATGATGAGAAGTTTTGTTAAGTGTAAGCAGTGTGAGACATGTTTTACTACAGTAAACATAGCCAAAACAAGTCACTCCAAAATCATTCTAAACAAATACAATGATTGAAATATAGTTACTTGATACCATTTTGATACTTAACTACCTAGTAAGACTGATGTTTTAAACTGATAAATTTCGTAATTTTCTAAGTTATACTATTATAATTTAATATTTAATTAGTAAAACTAATGTTTCAGACTGATAAATTTTGTATTTTTCTAAGTTGAACTATATACAGGGTGTCTCAGACCACCCGGCCGGCTTGTATAGCTCTAATATGAAAGCAAATGGAAACCTAATTGCAACTGGAACCCCCTATTTTGACCCCAAGGAATTCAACTAAATTATTTTCAACCCCAAAAAAGCACTCCAAAGGGCAGTTTTTGGGGGGTGGGGGTGGTTTTTGGGAAATTTTCAAATATAAAGGGGGGTTGTGTTATACCTCTTGTTAAAGGTCCTTTAGTCGTGAGTATTTTAGTGGAAAAAGATTTAAATTATCTTCATCCCTATTTACAGGGTGTTCAAAAACGTACAAAAAATAGACCTTTGAACTACTTTTCACTGTAAAGAGGTGGAATTTCGTGGGGGGTTCAAATTTTGACAACACTTTAATCGCTAAATGAGCTTTCAAAAAACTCTGGTTTCAACCCTTTTGCTATCTTTTTACTTATGTTACGCATTTTCAAACTTTTTGAAGTTTCAAAAGCTGTTATCTCAAAAATTTCAAATGGCAACATGGGTTTCATTACAAACCACATTGTAGCCCTTGAAATTTGCTATAATTTTTGTATTTAATGTTTTTTGGTATCTTCATTGGTTAAAGAGATATAACGAAATTAGTGTATTTTAATGTTTTATTAAATGGTATTCAAAGTGTTTGCTGTTGCAAATGTACACCTCTAGGTCTCAATTAAAACAAATATTGTCTAAAAAAATAAAATAGTACTCAGATTGTTGATCTTGGAAGATTGATAAAGGTAAGAACACAACTGCAAATATTCTTAGTTATTTTACAATTCCATGGCTCTAATAGTGCTTTGAATGAATAATTTGTTTCAATCAGCATTAATAGCCTACATACCGATGGACTTCTACAAATGCTTAAATTGCCTTCCATTTTGTTCCATGCAAACCCCAACTCTGTTTACGCACGTAGTACTTCTTCTCCACTATTATGGTACTGTATTGCTATTTTACTACCGCAGGTGCATGCACCTATCGTACAGATCCAGTATTTCCTTATACTTTGTTTTATCTGATCAAACGTGACCAGTTTCACGCACACGCTCATTGATTTCATGATGATTTTTTTAAAATTTACCAGTAGCATTTATAGACAGTATTCATTCAAAGCACTATTAGAATTTTGTAAATTGTAAAATAACTAAGAATATTTGCAGTTGTGTTTTTTCCTTGATTAATCCTCCAAGCTTAACAATCTGGGTAGTATTTTAATTTTTTAACATAATTAGTTTTAATTGAGACCTAGACGTGTACATTTACAACAGCAAACACTTTGAATACCATTTAATAAAACATTAAAATACACTAATTTCGCTATATCTCTTCAACCAATAAAGATACCAAAAAACATTAAATACAAAAATTATAGCAAATTTCAAGGGCTACAATGTGGTTTGTAATGAAACCCATGTTGCCATTTGAAATTTTTGAGATAACAGCTTTTGAAACTTCAAAAAGTTTGAAAATGCGTAACATAAGTAAAAAGATAGCAAAAGGGTTAAAACCAGAGTTTTTTGAAAGCTCATTTATTAATTAAAGTGTTGTCAAAATTTGAACCCCCCACGAAATTCCACCTCTTTACAGTGAAAAGTAGTTCAAAGGTCTATTTTTTGTACGTTTTTGAACACCCTGTAAATAGGGATGAAGATAATTTAAATCTTTTTCCACTAAAATACTCAGGACTAAAGGACCTTTAACAAGAGGTATAACAAGACCCCCCTTTATATTTGAAAATTTCCCAAAAACCACCCCCACCCCCCAAAAACTGCCCTTTGGGGTGCTTTTTTGGGGTTGAAAATAATTTAGCTGAATTCCTTGGGGTCAAAATAGGGGGTTCCAGTTGCAATTAGGTTTCCATTTGCTTTCATATTGGAGCTATACAAGCCGGCCGGGTGGTCTGAGACACCCTGTACTATAACTGGTATCACCAAGTTAAGAGTTATTTTTTATAAGGTAGGCCTAATTAATATTTTTTTTCATAAACAACTTTTTATTGATGTTTTTTAATTAAAGATGAATTTAATTTATTTATTACCTATAATTATTATAATTTTTGTATTTAACCAGTCTGTAAAAAATTAGTAGGTAGGGTTACAAAATCAGGTTAAAATGTAGAACGTGCATTTGCCGTAAGGTATGAGAAGGGAAATCCTGTCTCGATCTCATCTCGAAATTTTATGACAAACTAAAAATCCCGACTCAAACTAAAAATCTAGATACCTAATGCAAGTTTAGCAACTGACAAAATTGCAGAGATGAATGCAGAGACTTTACTGATGTTGTAAGACGGGAGGTGCGTGAACCCGCAAGTAATTTCACAAAAGAGATGTGTCTTATGTTAAGATGAACCTGTTACTAGAGTTACAATGAGTTTTACCTTGACAGCCACATAGTCGCCAGAACTGATAGGTTTAGTTGGGCCCGATGAGTCTTCTGGGATGTCGACCTTTGGAACAATAACTTTGGTGTTACCATCGTTTCTCCCTGCCAAGTGCTCTTTGGATCTTTTACTGTCCTGAGACAAAAAAAAAAAAAAAAAAAACTCTGTACGGTACTGGGTTTCAATTTAAAATAAAAATAAATAAATTAATTAAAATTCTTAGATTAATATAAAGTCCCACTATACTAATACACCTTTAGACTACAACGTACCTCTATAGTACAGTACTGTAGGTCATGGTTTCATAGTTATTCAAAGAGATAAAAAGCCAAATAATGTTCCGCTAAAAAGGGATTTTATTAGCATGGAAATATTCATTTGTAACTTACCCCCTCAACTAAAATAAGTTGCACACTTCCAATCTGTGCTTTATTCAGTTGTTCAGCATCTTTCCGGAACTGTGAAACTAATCTGTCTACTCTTAAGGTCTTAATTTCTTGCGGAACATCATCCTTGAATCTTCTGTGGGCAGTGGTTTTCTGCAAAAATTTAAATTTTGTTATATTGATGGTTTATAAATTGTTATAGTATACTAAACAGTAACAATGTTAACATGACAGATAATTTTAATACAACCTGAAAAGTGTTCACCAGTTAGAAATGTGATAATTCCACCAAGGCTTGAAATATCTGATCACTTGTTATTATTCTTAAACTTACAAAAATTGACTCTTTTCATTGAATAGTGAAGCAGTGAATAACAAACGGTGATTCACTTCATTTTTTAACAAAAGCCAAACAGAACAAACTGATCAATTTTAACAGAAAACTATGAAACTACTTAATGCTATTTTTAAAAAATTTATAAGAAAATATTTTTATTGTTATAACATACAAGATGTTTAACAATTTTCTATCCAATAAAACACTTTTACAATACCTCTCGCATGCTGTAGGGAAATATGTATGCAAAGTTGTATTTGACTAGTTTCACTAAGCTGAGGGTGTCCTCAAACTCCTCTTCTGTTTCACCACAAAATCCACAGATGAAGTCGGAGGATATAGCGACTCCGGGGAGGACTTCCCGGATATGCAGGATCAGATCCAGGTAGCTTTCCCGGGAGTATCCCCTTCTCATACGCTCGAGGACTGAGGAATTTCCAGACTGTGCGGGAATGTGAAGACTCCTGCAGATGTTGCGTCTCTCACGGATTATTTGTAGAACCTAAAATTAGAATAAATGGGATATAACTAATGAATGGGTCATGTCAGGTGGATACTAAGTAGATCATTCCAATTGAAACTACAGAGAATAACAGATTATAAGACGTGTTTACAAGGTATTTTCTTTGTATATGCAATAGTCACAATCTAGGGCAGAAGGATACAACTAAATTGCATTAGTACCAAACAGTAGTTTGGAGGAGTGGGGGTCCAATGAAACAGTCTACCACTGGACCATCTTCAAATGATCCAAAATCCAAAGTTTATATTGCCGATCTGTTGATCTAAAATTGGAAGATCCAATAGTTAAATAGCCCACAGTTTGATCCAAAATCGAAAGATCCAATGTTTATATTGCAGATTGGATGACCCAAAGATCGGTAGATTCAAAAGTACAGACATAACCAGAAGTACAATTTTCCTTTGTGAAGTAAACTTATGAAATAGACTGTCCGTTTAGCTTTGGACCATTTGATCGTAGCTGGGTCGATTGATCCAAAAAACAATATGTGAGATCGGAAAAATCCAAAAGTATGAACTATTGCGTCTCTCAGATTGAAGGCGTTCAAATATTCACCTTGGCTTGATCAAAATTACAGATGTTCCTTATGTTACCAACCTAAATGAAAATGAAACAACAGTCTATCCATTTTATTGCAATTTGTCCAATTTTAAAACACATAAGACATTTCTGGCTGGAAAGTTATTTTTTAAATAAAATAGAATATCACCAATTTATGAATGGGAGAAATTGGCAAGCTTTAGCTAGTTATCTGGAAAACGCTTGGAAGTATAGATGGGAGATAATGACAGAATTTAACTTTTTAACATAAATTAACTTTAAACTGCCATATGAAACTCGTCTATAGATAAGTTAAGAGCAGTTTGTTTTTGTTTTTTCTCCTCCTTAATTTAACTCTACAATAAAGTAATCTCTCTCTCTCTCTCTCTCTCTCTCTCTTATATTTTTTGATTGTTTTTGTTTCACAAATATGTATTCATCTTTTTAGTGCTCAATACTATTGTAATCTTAATTAATTTGAACAACTCTAGTGCCAAAAAAAACAGACTGTTTATTAACCATTGTTTTTATGTGTCTGTGCAAAAAATGTATGTATTTTCTAAATTGTACAATAAAGACACATTTTCATTTCATTATTCATTTAATTTCATTTAGGTTATCGGCATTGCACAGTTCGTACACTATTTATTTATCGAAAGTAACTCAAATTGATATAAAACATTCACTTTTTAAACTAATATATCGGTTTGATTAACATAAATAGTTTATGCAGGCCAACTATCAGTTTTATTTTATGAACAAAATAAAGCAGCCCCTAAATAAAATACAAAGATAAACAGTATTTGTTAATTATTATGTCTTTTATTGCTGACATTATTCCTGCGGCAGAGCAAGGGCGGTTAACTAGTATATTTTAAAAACAGAAAAGGGTCGTTGAAAAGTTCAAACTCTTACTTCATCAGGAAAATCCTTCGGATGAGGAGAAGTAAATCTGACCCTCAGGTTTGGATCAATGGCTGAAACTCGGTCTAACAGTTGAGCGAAGTTGAGGCCCCGTTTCTTAGGTTTGTAGACAGTTTTAAACCCTTTCACTGTCTCAGCAGTTTGATCACTCATGTAGTACGAGTCTTGAGATAGATCTTGGTAACTGTTCACATTCTGACCTGAATTTAACAACAGTTTTTAGTTTTAAAAGTCACCACAAAACAGTATACCTTTATTTACCTGCACTGAAGTTCAATCACGCATTAACTACTGGTTGGATTGAGCTGAAATTTGGTAAATCCTTTCAGGCTCCACCCCAGTGGCTCTGGAGTTCCCCATGTTAACCTTATAAGTATTGATATTTAAAAGGAATTAACCCTTTGAGTGCCACGCAACGATATATCGTTTTGCACAACACATCTGAAAAATACTTCACATCAATATATCACCGTCGCTAGTCTTACTGAAAAATACATTGCAACGATATATCGGGACGGCACGACTTTCGATCATGTGAGTTTTAATGGGCATATCGGTTGACTCGGTTGTTATTATAAAACAATGATGATTTCAATCGATTTCTCATACGATCGAGGCACATATCGTTCCATGGCCCTTTTGGGATGAAAATTTATAATTTTACCGATTTTTATTCTTGCGCACTACGCTTCGCCCCCACGGAAAGCCTGGCACTTTTCAGACATATCTAGTAAAAAAACTCTGGCACTTTTCGGAAAGTATCGAAATAAATTTCTGGCACCCAAAGGGTTAAGGAATTTTGTCAGCTGTTTCAACCACACAAGTTGGTACTACACGATATTAAATGTAATTAATATTTTTTGCATTTATGACAGCTAATTACCAACTAGCAACAAAAAGCTGTGACATACAATGAGAACTTTACATTTTTCTATTTTTTAGGTGCAGTGGTAGAACATTATGGCTATGGTAGATGTGCTACACTATAGCATGCCATAAATTAAAAGAATCAAAATGTCTTAAGCCGTGTCCTCTCCCATTGCAAACACAAAGCCAAATATAACTGCTATAAGCATTTTATACTTCTACGCAAACCCTGTATGAAGGACGGGTACTCTGCTAGTAATTAATAAAACTAACTTAACTAAAATACTCGTCATTATCATGCTTGGCATAAAAAAATATCTTCAATACTAATAGGTTTTCAACTCAAATAAAGTAAAACAAGCAGTGCAATATAAAAGTTTACACATGAAAATATCAAAATTAAAATAATAGATAAAATTATTTTAAAACCAAAAGTTTCTACTTATATGAAATATGAAATAAAGCAGTATAACTTATGGAACTAAAACTCTTCAAAGGAGTAGATAGTCTTGTTGATAAGAAACTATTTCAATTTTCATTTAAATTTATTTTTGGATGTTTCAAATTTGATTTCTTTAGGAAGTTTATTATAAAATTTGGAAGCGACATATTTAGGTGCCTTTGTGAAAAGTTGCAGAGTATGAAGGCCAGGTTTTCTCGATTTCTAGTAACTGTGATAGTCTCCAACAAGTTGTAATTCATCAGATCTGTCCTTTACTGATAATACTGTTTCATAGACATACATTCCATAAAGTTATAATATTTTCAGTTTTAAAAAGTTCCTTGACTGAAGTTCTACGTTTTAGATTGCATAAAATTCTAATAGTTTTTTTTTTGCTTTTTAAGAATAGATTTTAATATTTTTCTTAACTACAATTTTTGGCATATTTCGCAGTTTAGTTTTTCCTGCTTGGAAACACATAAAATTAGTTTTATCTGTGTTCAAACGCAAATTATTTGAGTAAAAAAACTGTTAAGTAATAATATATCAGAATTGGCCGTGACTTCAAGTTCAGCATACGTTTCTGCGGCTACTTTTAAATTTGCAGCATCAGCATATAAGCAAAATTTGCTAAAAGCACTTAGTTGCGGAAAATTTCTCAAGTAAAAGATGAATAAAAAGGGGCCTAGGATAGATCCTTGGGGAACTCCATATTTAACTTCCCGAGTACAAGAATTGTAAATGTTATAATTTTAGCGAATTTCCTTATAGGGAAGTAGCTATTACCGTAGGTCTCATGGTAAGACCTAGGCCCGGGACCGATTTACTTTTTCATTTTGATGTCCCCACAGGCCAAAAACACCATTTGTTCAAATTTTTATATTTGTTTATCAAAAAACATCTGTGTCCGTCCGGACGATAACTTGAGCAATTTTTGTCCGATTGTGATGAAATTTGGTTTGAAGGTGTAAGGCGGGATAAACTTGAACGAGTTCGCGAACCAGCATGATCGGACCATGGGAACGGGGTTTAACTGGGGTAAAAATTGGTTTTTCTCATTTTTGACACTCAAAACAAAAAATTTCCCAATTTCTCTATAGACCTTCTTAAAGAGCTTAAAAAAACAAATAATTAAGTATATCAAAGTGTTTTTGTATGGTTATTGGTTACGGAGAAAACTCTAAAAAATTTAAATTTAAAATTCCCATGTTATTCTTATGGAGAATATTGTATAATTTTGTAGTTTGCTAGTTTATGGATATATTTTGATCAAACTTGGCAAATTTATTGATTTTATACTAAGCTATAATTATTTTACTTAAAAACACACTTTTTTGTTTCCTTGCAGCAGCAAACCTAGGTACTCGTTAAACCTAATGTTAATAAAAATAGATTTATTGAAAATCAATTCAGGCAAATGGAAATTCGCTTAGACGGCAGGTTTGCTGCGACGGGGGTATTTATCACTATAGTGACTCAGTTCTACGTATTGTTTTCTATCAAAAAGATAGGACTTAAAACAAGTTTAATGCAGTGCTATTTAGTCCACTACTACTGTGCTTTAAAACACAACAACTCATGACAACAACACATTCATGGTAACAACTCATGAGAAATGGAATCAAAAGCTTTACTGAGGTCCAATGTAGGTACCTATGTGAAAATGTTATTAAAAAATTTGTGTAGAAAAGTTTTTCTACACAAGATTTAAATATAATCAAAACCAAAATGGCGGTTTCCACTACTTACCAAATTTAAAAGCAATAAACCTAAAGATAAAGAGTTCCCATAAAGGCCATAAAGGTTGAATTTTGTTTCTAAAAGAGTTAGCGGATGTGTAACTATTTCATACAAAAGATGTAAGGATCAAAATGTTCATATTTTTTGTCCCCTTCCCGTTGCAAAGCACGGGTATAACATCTAGTGCTATTATAAACTAGTGATTTTTACCATCGACTGTAAAATAAATTAATGTGTTGTAAATTGTCAGGTTAAAATTCCCATCATAATAAATTGAAAAACCACTGAAACTGAAATAATAAAAGCTAAAATTAGTTGTAAATAAAAACTCAGTTTCCTTTATATTGCTTTTAAAATGGAAATAAACTACACCGAGCCATGACTCGGACCCCAGGGAAATTGATTTGTAAACAGATGATTACTTACCGAGGAGAGTTACTTCTCTAACACCTTGCTGCACAAGATGAGCAACTTCATTGACAATGGACTGCACAGGTCTGGACCTCTCCCTACCTCTAGTGAATGGTACAATGCAGTAGGTGCACATGTTGTCACATCCTCGCATGATAGACCTGGTAAACGAACAACAAAATATCCTAAAAGTCACTCCAGAAACTCATTTTCATTACACTTGCATAATCTACCAATTACTTTCAAAATTATCAGTGTTAACCTTTAATATTTTAAGATTCTACTTGCTTTTGCTAGAAGGTATCAAATGTAGTCATTGTTCATGCTGTACATGTTTAGAGCTACTTACAGCTCACCTTCAGCAGCATTCTTGTACAGTACACTCCCGATTAAACGAGGTTGTTGGGACTGAGGTTGTTGGGTTGCCGAGAATCTCGAATAACACGGAGGACTCTTAGATTTTGAGGATAGGGGTTACAGTACCACATTACGAAGTCAAGACTAGAAAATATATGTTTTAATAGTGAATACAAAATTATCAATAAAATAATATTTTCATGGACATTTTTTTTTTACACATATACTGCGGGCGTATCCAATCGGATACAGGCCGAGCGGTCTTCAGGTGCTACCGTAACCGATCGGATACGCTCGGCAATGCCTTTCGTATATCTTCGTTTTTGCTCTAACGTCGGTCGAATGCGGACCTATACCACGTAAGCATGTAGTGGGTGACTTGCTTTCTTCACTAAATTGTACATTTTTAAACCCATAACCATTAACAAAGTAGACACTTTTTTCTCGTTCTTAATATCATTAGCGTTATTAAAAATTAACAACCTTTCTATATACAGGGTGTCTCAGACCACCCGGCCGGCTTGTATAGCTCCAATATGAAAGCAAATGGAAACCTAATTGCAACTGGAACCCCCTATTTTGACCCCAAGGAATTCAGCTAAATTATTTTCAACCCCAAAAAAGCACCCCAAAGGGCAGATTTTGGGGGGTGGGGGTGGTTTTTGGGAAATTTTCAAATGTAAAGGGGGGTCGTGTTATACCTCTTTTTAAAGGTCCTTTAGTCCTGAGTATTTTAGTGGAAAAAGATTTAAATTATCTTCATCCCTATTTACAGGGTGTAAACTACTTTTCACTGTAAAGAGGTGGAATTTCGTGGGGGGTTCAAATTTTGATAACACTTTAATTAATAAATGAGATTTCAAAAAATTCTGGTTTTAACCCTTTTGCTATCTTTTTACTTATGTTACTCATTTTCAAACTTTTTGAAGTTTCAAAAGCTGTTATCTCAAAAATTTCAAATGGCAACATGGGTTTCATTACAAACCACATTGTAGCCCTTAAAATTTGCTATAATTTTTGTATTAAATGTTTTTTGGTATCTTCATTGGTTAAAGAGATATAGCAAAATTAGTGTATTTTAATGTTTTATTAAATGGTATTCAAAGTGTTTGCTGTAGTAAATTTACACGTCTAGGTCTCAATTAAAACTAATTATGTTAAAAAATTAAAATACTACCCAGATTGTTAAACTTTGAAGGATTAATAAAGGAAAAAACACAACTGCAAATATTCTTAGTTATTTTACAATTACAAAGATCTAATTGCTTTGAATGAATACTGTCTATAAATGCTACTGGTAAATTAAAAAAATCATCACGAAATCAATGAGCGTGTGCGTGAAACTGGTCACGTTTGATAAGATAAAACAAATTATAAGGAACTTACTGGATCTGTAAAAGAGGTGAATGCACCTGCGGTGGTAAAATAGCAATACAGTACCATAATAGTGGAGAAGAAGTACTACGTGCATAAACAGAGTTGGGGTTTGCATGGAACAAAATGGAAGGCAATTTAAGCATTTGTAGCATTTGTCCATCGGTATGTAAGCTATTAATGCTGATTCAAACAAATTATTCATTCAAAGCACTATTAGAGCCATTAAATTGTAAAATAACTAAGAATATTTGCAGTTGTGTTCTTTCCTTTATCAATCTTCCAAGATCAACAATCTGAGTATTATTTTATTTTTTTAGAAAAGATTTTGTTTTAATTGAGACCTAGTGGTGTACATTTGCAACAGCAATCACTTTGAATACCATTTAATAAAACATTAAAATTGTTGTAAATGGACTTAAATTATGTAGAATGATAAAGAGAAAGGTGTTTTAGGTACAAGATTTACTCAATACAAAACCATATCATAGCTTTTCACAAAACACATCTGGTATCCATGACAACAACTTATTCAGAACACATGTGATACCAAATTAAACTGTTCACACAAATCATATTTCAACACCCTCCTTATTTGTGGAATCCCTGGAACTTAATGCAGTCTCTGAATTTTTCACTGTTAAGCGCCTTTGTTAGAGAATCAGCAACCATCTCTTTAGTAGGAACATAAATGAAGGAAAGCTGTTTGGATTGAATCTTCTCCCTCAAGAAATGATGCCTCACATCAATATGCTTCGTCCTGGCTTGGTACGTTCCATTCAAGGCTAAGTTCCTGGCTCCCTGGTTGTCACAATATATCTGGATCAGACTCTTTGAAGACGGGTCAATTTCTTCAGCTAAACCTCTTAGCCATAATGCTTCTTGAGCAGCTGAAGACATTGCCATATACTCGGCTTCTGTTGTCGAGAGTGCCACAGTAGGTTGTCGTTTGGTACACCATGAACTCGGACCACCGCACTTCATAAATAGGTACCCCGTGACGGATCTTCTTTCGTCTGGATCACTTGCCCAATCAGCGTCACAGTATCCAAACAAGTTTCCACCCTTAAAACCATCATACTGTAACTTCCACGACGAAGTTCCCTTTAAGTACCTGAAGATTCGTTTTATGCCAGTCCAATGCTCCATCCCAGGATTGTTGTTAAATCTACTCAAATTACTGACAGCATATGCGATATCAGGTCTTGAAACTTGGGCTGCAAACAACAGACTACCAATAGCTTCTTGATAAGGAATTTTTCTCATCTTCTCCTTTTCAACTTCATTTTTCGGCATCTGAGCTTTACTAAATTTATCACTGCAGTTCATTGGAGTTGATACTGGGTGGCACTGGTCCATTCTGAAACGTGTCAGCATCTTGTTGATGTACGTTTCTTGGCTTAACCATATCTTCTTCTCCTTTCTGTCTCTGGTCAGTTGAAATCCCAAGACAGACTTAGCTTCACCAAAATCTTTCATTTTAAAAGACTTCATCATCTGAGTTTTCATCTCCTGTTTAAGTTTCTGATTGTTGGAGAATATTAAAATATCATCAACCCAAACTGCAAGCAAAAACACTACACCTTCTTCAATTCGATAATAAACACAACGGTCGAATTTTGATTGTTTCAGTCCCAGACCTTGTAAACAAGAATCAAGTTTTTGGTTCCACACCCTGCTGGCTTGCTTGAGGCCATATATACTTTTATGAAGGCGGCAAACTCTAGAAGTTCCGTCTTCATATCCAGGCGGCTGGCACATGTATATCTCCTCTTCCAGTTCTCCCTGCAGAAAAGCAGAAACAGCATCCATTTGATCGATGTCTAAGTCGTGTTCAGCAGCAAGGGCTAATAGAAACCGAATCGAACTGTAACGCACAACAGGTGAAAATGTTTCATCATAGTCTATTCCCCTCCTTTGGTCAAATCCTTTAACAACTAGCCGTGCCTTATGACAAGTCACCTGGCCCTTCTCATTTTCCTTTGATTTGAAAACCCATTTACAGTTTAAAGGTTTCCTCAAGGCTGGGGGTTCGACCAATTCCCAAGTCTTATTTTCGATTTGAGACTTAAACTCACGGTCCATAGCATTCTTCCAAGAGTCTTTGAACTCACTTTTTAATGCTTCTTCGCGAGTTATTGGATAGGATAGCTCACCAGAGAAATAAGTAACATAATCGTTCAACGCAGCTGGGAGGTTTCTGACGCGCTGCGGTCGAGTTGTTGTGTCCGGAATAATGTTCATGTCAGTAACATCAGTAACATCGTTGTTACTTCGGTTTACACCAGATCCTGTTGGAAGCACATCATCATTATTGGACACACTTGGACCGGTTTGTGTCTGACCACTAGTACTGTCCTGACTATCAGACACATTTCCTGTAGGTTCGGGAAACACGTAAAAATCTAAGTCTTTCCTCACATTTTTCAATAGAGAACTTCCCCATTGATTTTCAGAAAAGGTAACGTCTCTAGATATGAAAGTTATTTTCTTCTGAGGATCATACAACCTGTACCCTTTACTAAACTGACAATAACCGACAAATATACAAGGAGTAGATCGTGGACTAAGTTTTTTACGTTTCTCAGCAGGAATGTGAGCAAATGCCTTACAACCGAAAATTCTGAGATGTTGTAGAGTAAGCTTGTTACCTGACCACACTTGTATTGGAGTTGATTCCACGGACCTGCATGGTGATCTGTTCAGAAGGTAAGCAGCAGTATTCACAGCTTCAGCCCAAAAACTAGACGGAAGCCCAGACTCTATCAGCAAACATCTTGCTCGTTCTAGGAGGGAACGGTTGAGACGCTCTGCCTTTCCGTTTTGCTGAGGTGTGTAAGGACATGTAGTTTGATGCACAATACCTGATGACTTAAAAAACTCAGTTAAGTTGCGATTACAGTACTCCGTACCATTATCTGTACGCAACACTTTTATCTTCTTGTCAGTTTGTTTTTCAGCATACTCTTTGAACGTTTTAAAGTGACCATTGACTTCGTCCTTTGATTTTAAAAAATAAACAAAACACATGTGACTGTAGTCATCTAAAAAGGTCAAAATATACCTAGACCCTCCAAGACTATTCACTTCCATAGGACCTACCAAGTCAGAATGCACTAGCTCCAGATAATGACTGCTTTTAGACTCACTCTTAGGAAAGGGTAAACGATGGCTTTTTCCTAACATACAGATATCACAAATAGTTTCTGGCTTACTACCAGAAAGGTTGATATCATCAGCCAAGCCATTAACTAATCTTGTAAGACTATCAAAATTCAAATGTCCCATACGCTGATGCCAGAGCGTTAAGCCACTGCTTTGCATGGATAATGCAGATGTGTTTGTAGGCATATCCAACTTAAACAGATTGTTTATTAAACTAGCAGAAGCAATGAGCTGTCCTGTTGAATTGAAAACTTTGGCTCCATCACTATTGAATACCACAGAGTTTCCTTTATTTACAATTTGACTCACTGATAAAAGATTAACTTTTAAATTAGGCACATAATGTACATTACTTACATTTGCTTCCGAGACCTCACCAGAAATACATATTGGAAGCTTCAAATCACCGACGGTATCAGTCACCATTGTCTCATTATTTGCTGTGGTGATCGTTAGTGCTTGGCCTTTTCTTGCGTTCAGAAGCATGTTAACGTCAACACATAAATGACAAGATGCACCGCTGTCTAAAAAGAACTCATTACTAACGCCCAATTGCATTGAAAATGCAGCAAAGAGTAACGTATTAGATTTGCCAGAGTTTACGTTATTTTTGCCCACTACTCTCGTAGATGTACAGTTTTTTGAGATGTGACCGTAAACATTGCATTTATAACATCTCGGACCTTTCTTCACATTTTTGTCCGAACTACTCCTGTTTCTGTTCTTTTGATACACTTTGTGAACTGTCCCTCTTGAACTGGAACCATACAGTGCAGAATCAGTTCCTGCAAAAGTCATATCACGTTGTACTGGAGACACATCTTGCAATAACTTCGTTTTTATCGCATCCGCCGTGACTTTATTGCCGGAAGATTCAATTCCCATTATCATTGGTTCATACCGGATGGGTAAACCAGCTAGTAAGATTGTTCCAACCCATTCATCGGTTACCTGCAGACCCACATTTGTAAGCTTGTGAGCAGTTGTGACTATGCGGTTCACGTATTCCTCAACAGAACTACAATCTTCCAGCTTTGTAGTTATTAGAATACGGAGAAGTCCAACTCTCCTGCTTAATCCATCATCTTGAAAAGCCTTCGTTAAATTGTCCCAAGCTGCCTTTGCGGTGGTTGTGTTTTGAATATGTACATAATTCACCGGATCAACCAATAAGATCAGCTTTGATCGACATTTAGTGTCCTTTTTCTTATCCTGTTCTACACCAGATACACAGTCCCACAAATCCAAATCTTCCAGGTAAGCTTGTACTGCAAACTTCCATGTATCAAAATTCTCACGACCTTTAAGCCTTTCAATTGGTAATGAATTTTGAGTCATATTGCTGTTACAAACTTATGAAGTTGGTATTCTTTAAATGAAGCACTGAATAAAATATCCTGGGCCCATAACCTGTTGTAAATGGACTTAAATTATGTAGAATGATAAAGAGAAAGGTGTTTTAGGTACAAGATTTACTCAATACAAAACCATATCATAGCTTTTCACAAAACACATCTGGTATCCATGACAACAACTTATTCAGAACACATGTGATACCAAATTAAACTGTTCACACAAATCATATTTCAACAAAAATACACTAATTTCGTTATAGCTCTTTAACCAATGAAGATACCAAAAAACATTAAATACAAAAGTTATAGCAAATTTTAAGGGCTACAATGTGGTTTGTAATGAAACCCATGTTGCCATTTGAAATTTTTGAGATAACAGCTTTTGAAACTTCAAAAAGTTTGAAAATGCGTAACATAAGTAAAAAGATAGCAAAAGGGTTGAAACCAGAGTTTTTTGAAAGCTCATTTATTAATTAAAGTGTTATCAAAATTTGAACCCCCCACGAAATTCCACCTCTTTACAGTGAAAAGTAGTTCAAAGGTCTATTTTTTGTACGTTTTTGAACACCCTGTAAATAGGGATGAAGATAATTTAAATCTTTTTCCACTAAAATACTCAGGACTAAAGGACCTTTAAAAAGAGGGATAACACGACCCCCCTTTACATTTGAAAATTTCCCAAAAACCACCCCCACCCCCCAAAATCTGCCCTTTGGGGTGCTTTTTTGGGGTTGAAAATAATTTAGCTGAATTCCTTGGGGTCAAAATAGGGGGTTCCAGTTGCAATTAGGTTTCCATTTGCTTTCATATTGGAGCTATACAAGCCGGCCGGGTGGTCTGAGACACCCTGTATATAGAAAGGTTGTTAATTTTTAATAACGCTAATGATATTAAGAACGAGAAAAAAGTGTCTACTTTGTTAATGGTTATGGGTTTAAAAATGTACAATTTAGTGAAGAAAGCAAGTCACCCACTACATGCTTACGTGGTATAGGTCCGCATTCGACCGACGTTAGAGCAAAAACGAAGATATACGAAAGGCATTGCCGAGCGTATCCGATCGGTTACGGTAGCACCTGAAGACCGCTCGGCCTGTATCCGATTGGATACGCCCGCAGTATATGTGTTAAAAAAAAATGTCCATGAAAATATTATTTTATTGATAATTTTGTATTCACTATTAAAACATATATTTTCTAGTCTTGACTTCGTAATGTGGTACTGTAACCCCTATCCTCAAAATCTAAGAGTCCTCCGTGTTATTCGAGATTCTCGGCAACCCAACAACCTCAGTCCCAACAACCTCGTTTAATCGGGAGTGTACTGTACAAGAATGCTGGTGAAGGTGAGCTGTAAGTAGCTCTAAACATGTACAGCATGAACAATGACTACATTTGATACCTTCTAGCAAAAGCAAGTAGAATCTTAAAATATTAAAGGTTAACACTGATAATTTTGTATTTGGTATAACACGACCCCCCTTTACATTTGAAAATTTCCCAAAAACCACCCCCACCCCCCAAAATCTGCACTTTGGGGTGCTTTTTTGGGGTTGAAAATAATTTAGCTGAATTCCTTGGGGTCAAAATAGGGGGTTCCAGTTGCAATTAGGTTTCCATTGCTAAAAAGCTCTTTTGTACATATTGGAGCTATACAAGCCGGCCGGGTGGTCTGAGACACCCTGTATGAAGACCTCGTTTCTTCAGCCGCATGAAACGCATTCATAAACCCTATAAGACCCGCCATTTTTTACTTGTTAAATAGTCTCTCTATAAAAACTGGTGAAACTCCTGACATACGAGTATAAACTATATTGCGACTCACCGAATTTCTCGTTACACTGCAAACTCTTACCTCCCGTTACTGTCCTATTAATGTCCAGTTTGCACTTTTTCTTTCTCACTTCAAACAACAGTTCCTCAAAGACGGTTAATTGTTAATTGTTGCACAGTTAATTTTTCACATGTGACAGCCCTTTCGCTTGCCGGTAACAATCTTCTTTGCACACACGCGACAGCTCTTCTGCTTGCTGGTTACGTGAATTCAATTTACTCGTCGCCAAATGTAATGTTTGTAGTGACATTGGGATTAAATAAGAACACATATTAATGTTAAAATGCCGCGGCCGATACTGACGGAAGTAGAACAGGGATTAGGTGTCATCACAGGAGCTCATGGTAGACCAAGAGGAATAGCCGGGAAAAGAGTAGCGTGGTCAGGCTGTGTTCTGATTGGTTGGTTGAGGGTGGCGTGATGATCGGACCACGGCAACGTTTATTCGGTCAAACATTGCCATCATGATATAACTTTTACAGTGATCATACTCAGCAGAGTATACTATATGAAATACACTACAATTTCAAAAATTTTGTGTGTTTAACTAGGCAATGCCGTCTTTCAGTATGTTGAAACAGCTACATTTGGAAACTTTTCTACGTAGTTTGATAAACTCACACAATCATGCGTCACCGGGACGTACTAGTTCAATTCATAAGCTGAAAGTCCTATAATTTTGCAGTGCAGTCGAAAAGAATATTAGGGCACCCGCATTTTACCTGGGGAGCTGATGACCCGGTATGGGTTAAACAACAAATTTGAGCGGATTCTAAGATGTGGGCTTTGCTGTGATGGGCAACCTTGAATTTATGTAAAGTTTTTTCTTAGAAGTCAATTAATTGTCAAACTAAGTTAGAGAGCACTTTTAAAACTGCAGCAAACTGAGACCTCAAAACTTAAAAACTTACACAAAGGCAGACTTGGCCCCCTCGTTCAGTCTGACTGGCATCACATCAGCATATGTTTCATCCAGAGAGAGGAGTACGTTGACTGCAGTCTGATCATTGTAGGTCAAGGCCAAGAGTCGAGGCAAGTCTTTATAGCTGTCTGGCCCAGCAACAAGGTCTACTGATTGCTCTTTTTCTAGCAATGTGTGCTTCAGCCTTTCCGCCATACAACCTTAAATATGGTAAACATTAATAACTAATAACTGACTTACTAGAATAGACTGTTCACTTAACGTTAACTTACTATATATTCAGTTGTAAGACAATGTTAACAAAACTGTGTATACACGGCGAAGAGGACCCGGACCACATAGTCTGGATTGATAAAAGCACCAACCTTAAACATTTTTAGGAAGGCTCACACTCTTCTGAGTATAGATATTAGGGAAATTTATATGACCAAATGAGATGTTTTAGGACAATTCCTTTTAAACTTCAAATGTTGAAATTGACTTAATAGTACCAGAGAGGATTTAAAAGAAATATGAAGGCTGTGCCACAAACTAGCTGAGCTGCACAGGCAGTTTTTTATAAACAAGAACACTGTAGGGGTGTGGGTCTATAGCATGAAAGGCAGTGGTGGATCTAGAGGGGGGGGGGTGGGGAAAAGTGGCCAATTGTCCCTCCCCCCTGAGACTTTGGTAAATAAATCTAATAAAAACTGTAGATTTAAATTACAAAAGATTATCATGTTTTTGTACCTCTGGATTCTTTAAAAACTTTCCATGTCGATCAATTTCAGACCCCGCCCCCCCGGAAGGCTACCCTCATAATCCAACTTGCCCCGCCCCCCAAAATCATACCCTGGATGCGCCCCTGGTTAATGGAGCCTCTCATATTTTTTATTTTTACTGTTTAACTAGCTGTGTGACCGTTCTACGGACGAGGATCTTGTAGTCAGTTGAAACCTATTATAGGAATACTCACAATATTTAAAAACATAATATCTGACAGTTTCAAATGCTTTGCAATTAATTATCACCCGGATATAAATATTTGTTGTTCTATTTAATAATCAATGATTAACATAATATTAAAATGGTACTTGGGAAAAGTAACGGTACCGATAGTCGTTGTCTAAATTTTGTTGAGGATGATTGGGTAGGCCTACGTACCAATAGGATATGGACCACAGGCCTATTGGCGGTAAGGTCCAGCGATAGCAGCGCAAGTCGAAACAGAAAGTGACAAATTGGAAAAGTGATTGATACAATCAAAACTACATTGCAAAGATCTTCTGAGATCACAGCGAAGATCAACAGATCAGTTGAGATCAACATCCGCGATGTTGTTCACACAAATCAAAGATCACCCAATGTAGTTGTGATTTTTTACTTGACACAACAACATTCGAAACACCGTTAATGAGTGGAAACCTCAATTGTATGCTTTTGGTACCATTTTTAAAAAATGATTTAAACAATTTAAGTTTCCCAGTCCTGTACAACACTGATTCTCTGGTCTCTGGTTATCAAAACTCAAGTACAACTTGATACAAACTGAATCTCCGGTTCCCGACCTGGATGATGGCTAGTTATTTCATTTAATTTACAGTTACATATTATTGTACTTGCACTTGCGATTAATCATACCCGTTATGTAAGCCACACGGTTATTAATCTCACTTGGTTTTGGATTTGCTTACAAACGTGATCGGAAATGGTTACATAGTACACTAGACTCTCGCTCATTCGGTCTAATGTGGCGGACGTCCGGGCCAGATTACGAAAAATCCGGACTATCGAGAGTCAACTGTATATAACAAAAGCATTGTGCGATCTAGCGAAAGCATTGTTTGGTCTAAGGGTGATTTTTAAGTCTTCGGGTTTGCATGCAGCTCTTGCTGTGTATCATTCTTATGGTATCATCTCATGGGGCAGCTCCCCCATTACCAAGAATATTTTTATTTTATAAAAAATTGCCGTTAGAATTTTAGCTGATACCAGACCACGTTCCTCTTGCCGCCCCCTTTTCATTCAGATGAAACTCTTGACAATTTATGCAGTTTATATATTTCAACTGTGTACCTTTGTAAAAAGAAATTATAAGGAATTTATGTTGAAAAATTACACTCATCAATATAACACCCGACACAGGAATGATCATCGATATCCTGTATCATATATATCAATATTCGTTAACAACATTTAATGTAAACATAGACATAGACATATTTTATTGACACAAAACGTTCTTTATAAAGTACATTTCATACATAAGAACAGGTGTTTCGTCATAGTGATGTATTTTATAGTAAAATTAATAGTTAAAATAATTAAAATAAACTCATGTAGGATATCAGAGAATGTTTATCTACACTATAGGGTTCTCAAAAAATTTGTCAAGTGAATAGTAGGCTTTCACTTCCTAAACGTATAAGTGACAGCTAGGAAAAATAATCTTTAAACAGCTGTTCGCAATTTCATGGATGACGTATTCTCCTAACAAATAATTAGTAAAAGATTGGTGTAAATACCTGCTTCTTGTAATCCAAAATGTTGCTGCTATGACGCAACTAGTTTCAACTTCTCACGAAGTCATCTTCGGGCGCCCAGGGGATGTCAAATCACTTCATCAGAAGGTCGTCAATACACACATTATACGTTCATACTTGAACATGGTCAGGGTTACGAACACGAACATTGAAACAAAAAAGTACAATTTAACGAATGAAAGCTAAAAATGGTAACACCAGTGCAGATGATGCGTCACGACCGGATGGATGTAGCGTCTAGACTGCTAGACTGCCTCACCGGTGTTACCATTTTTAGCTTTCACTCGTTAAATTGTATTTTTTCGTTTCAATGTTCGTGTCTGTGTTTGTGTTCGTAACTGTGACCATGTTCGTGTATGAACGTATAATGTGTGTCTTGACGACCTTCTGATGAAGTGATTTGACACCCCCTGGACGCCCGAAGATGACTTCATGAGAAGTTGAAACTAGTTGCGTCATAGCAGCAACATTTTGGATTACGAAGCAGGTATTTATTCAAATTTTTATATTCAACGTAATCCGGAGGCTAACATCAATAATGAAAATAATTAGTATTTCATAAATGACGTAAGTAGTAAACATAGGGAGAAAACTTGACAAACATCACACAAAATTGGGTTTTTGATCGTCAGTTATTTTATTTCCAAAATAGTGAGGCCATATTTTAATGGTTAAATACACTCTCCCCTATCCTGTGAATACAATTAAAAAATTATAATCAGTATTTGATTATACGCGCCTACTCTAGCCTGGGCGCCTACTCTAGTTTTTTGGAGTAGGCTGCGTAAAATGACTTCTAGGCTGTGACAGACTGACAGAAATTGAGATGAGACTTGTTTCGGCTTCTTTAATGTTATACAATACCCCGACGCAGCAAACCTGTAGACTAAGCAAATTTCTATTTACCTGAATTGATATACAATTAAATCCTATTTAACACAATGACTGCTAACACCAACTTTAGACGACGTCGCTAGCGCTTCATTGTGGGGCGCGCCGACAAAAGTCGGCACCAGACCAACTGAAATATATTGAGTCAGTGTGTGAGCTTAGCCTCAGACAGAGGACGTTATAATCGTTGCCAGCCTGTAGCTTAATAGCGAGCCTTACTTTGGTGTAGGTTGGTATAAAAATTTCCCGTAAAATCCCGTTTGGCAATGCTTTAGTCCCGGTTTCGGAGATTTTCTCTCTTTGACCCACATTACACAGACACTGGCTATAGATTCAGGCAGTGCAGCTACCTTTGGCTGTTTCAGTGAACTACGTCCACTCTCGGGGAAATGCAGCACAGTCACCACTGCTCTTTAGTGATTCGTCAGACTGAAATATTTGAATGCCTATTGCGTTCGCTGATTCGGTTGCAAGACGGGGCTTCGCCTGCCACTGGGAAGCGGCTGTACGTTGTTTTCAGCAGTCAACGTGTTAAATAACATCAGCCACAGTGGCCTGAACTCGGTTGAAATCAGGCCGTTGCGGCTACCCATTTCGAACAAGGAACTAAAGGATAGGGAACTTAATTGTTCAATAAATAGGGAAATACCGAGTTTTCCTCAAAATTCGCACGCTATGTTAACTCGTAGTAAAACTCGTGATAGGAATATAAACAGAATTAACACCCTTTTTGCGGCTTCTTACATCGCTCCGCCATTTTGTTGGTTTTACTTTTCCAGGAACCGAACGCCATTTCTGTTGTCTTCGTGTTTCCGATTGGTCGGCCATGTTGCTTCAGTCTCATTGGTGGAGTCATTGCGAACGGTGCTATTAGTGTTCCATTGTGTGAGATGTTTCACACTACACCTTTTATAGACTATAGTGTTTTGTGATTAGTTATTATTTGCATGTTGTATCATAACTTGACTACAATACAGTGCATATTGTTTGACTGCTAACTGCTACCTTCTGTAGTGTATTCCAACTTAGGTTGGGCGTTTGTGTATTGTTAGTTGTAATGTGTTAGTTAAGTTTTTTACTTCTGAAGACGGGACCAGATTCCAGATCCCGAAACGTTGTGTATTGTTTTTTACCATCATGATGGAAAATGTCCGCAATAAACCTTTGAACAACATTAAAGGAGGTGCAAGTTAATTTTCAGCCACCCTCATGGTTATTTGGATTTGAAATGTTTTAGGGCGCCATTTTGTTATTAGTGGGCCGATTTTGGTTTTCTTTATGTCAATTGTTATGTTTTGTCAAGACCTGTAAAATGATACCAAACTCGACTATACTTGTCATTTAAAAATTGTGAGCTACCCCCTACCCCTACTACCCCTAGTCTAAGGACAAAATTTTCTAAATTGACCATAATTGTTGTAGCCCCTCATCTAAGAAGGTTGCTGCAAACAGATTTCAAATACCTCAAATGGTTGAAAAGGTAAGATGGGGTGTAAGTTATTTTTCAGCCACCCTGTATAATAACTTTCTTTCTTTCAGGATTGGTACTAAATTTGGTGAAAAAAATTCCCTGACTCTTCCAGGTTTTCCAACCAGATATTATACTTTTTCCAGGTGTACGGTATGTCAATATCGACTAATCAAAATCAAGAAATATTATAAAAAATGTAAATATTTAACTTACTTAATCACTCCCAAATACAAAACTTGTTTCAAACTATATAAATATCGATACCTTCCCCCGTACTGATAACTATCAATATAAAAATAAGCATCAGTTCTTGTGTCGTTTTTTTCCATAGTCATCACCCTGACAAAACATGTTTAGAGCAAAACGTAGCATATCTGTAAAAAGGTAGTCTTTCAGGAGAAGTTCCAGAATTTTTTCACAATTCCCTGACTTTTCCAGGTTTACCCTGGCCGTACCAACCCTATGAACAGCACAATTTTTTTAAATATTGGATCATGAATACAAAAGCATACTAGAAAATTTAAAACATCTTGAATATGAAAAAGACGAATCAAAATTACATGTTAAAGAAGATTTTTACATATACAAGAAATACAACCAACACCCAGAAAATTTACTTTGAACATTAACAAACCTAATCCAATATTTGAAAAAAATCCTGCGGTTCAGTTAAATTAAATTCATCAAAATCTTAGTCAGATGATTTGTATTTATTTATTAACAAACATGTTTATTGTTATTTTTAAGACATGACTATGACATTGTTGTTGAAAATAGTCTTTGTTCAATAAAATGAGTTTTAAAAAGGGTACGGTACTTGAACGGATGGTGTTTTTAGCCTCTGGGGACATCAAAACGAAAAAGTAAATCGGTCCCGGGTCAAGGTCTTACCATGAGACCTACGGTAATAGCTTATTCCCTATATAGGAAATTCGCTAAAACGTAAAATAACAAAAAATTTATATTCTGATCTGAACAATGTACAGACAAAACCATAATTTTATTTATATAGATAAAACTATTTAAATATTCATATTTTATTTTTACAATCACTCATAGGGTTGTCACAGAGGCTATAAAAAACAACAATAAGTTCAAAGTTGTTTTATTTCCATGTAGGCTATTTATGGTAGATGCTTACCCAAGACTCCAATTTTGAGAGAAGGCTTTTCAGGTTGTTTTTGGCGATCTTTTTTCAAATATTTTAAATTATTCACAAGTTTGTTCCATATTTTGTTCTCTGCTCCTTCTCTAATAGCACATGTCATAATTAACACTACATCTGCTTCATTCAGCACTTCGGTTTTAATGAAACCAGCTGACTTCAATATCGACCAGACAATTTCCGTGTCGCTCACATTCATCTGACATCCGTGGACATCGAAATAAACTGAAACAAACATTATATGGTACAGGAATTATGGATATTTATAGGCATGCACTGTGCCCTCAGCCGTTTCTTGCATTCAGATTCATTATGACCTACACCGCATCCCAGTAAAGGTTTAGCTTCTTGGCACGGAGAATACTCTGGATGAAATGTGACATTCAGGTCCTACACACCATTAAGCCTACAGGCGGAGCCTTTCCCAACGCTGGCAGCGGGTATGTTCCGTGTCATCAGGAACGCCCGAGCAGAAGATGCAATCGTGTGATACAGCTTTGCTGTATTGTCAGAAATTTAGGTGTGGTAATAGTTCACCCCCCGTACCGCCATATATTGCCGTAAGTGGCAAATATATTACTGAAGGCTACATTGGATCACATATTATCCTTAATGGAGAATGGAATTTATTCGTTGTAGTTTGCAGTATATAGGAGTATTTAAATGACATTAGTCAAATGTATTTACTGTACTATGTTCCATACTAAGCTTGGTATTTCACTGAGAAATATTTATCATAGTGATCATAGTGGTGTCAAACTCGTTTGAGCAAATATAAGTCTACACTTTTATACTGAATTTCTATATTATATAAAACATTGAAAGGATGGTGTTTTTGGTCTTTGGAACATCAAAACAAAAACGTTAAGTGGTTCCGAGTCTAGGTCTTACCGTGAGACCTACAGTAACTTGATAGCTTATTCCTTATTCCCTAAGAGATATTCACTAAAGCCGCTAACTGCCAAGAAGCATAGAAACTAAAGTTAAGTCATACGTAATTGGTTTAATAAAATAATCTATATAAACTTAATACAATAGGTGTTTTCCTGTAACATTCCTTTCCAGCCGTCCTACTTAACTGATAAAATTGTGGTGTCATTTAAAAGCTTACGATCAAGCGCACCTGCAAATGGTAAAATTAGAAATGTAATTTCCTATAAGGCTTCGCCTCCTTACGTTTAATTTATTTATAAAGTCCATTTTCAAAGATCCAGTTATGCTGACCAACTTAAACGTGAACTGTATATTCTTTCAGGTAAATGTTTAACCACAGTCAGATTATTAACAAGAGACTAAACCGTTTATGAGAGTATATTTTAAATGGGCTGATTTTTTTTTTAACTCTGTTTTCGAGATAGCCAAGGTATATAACTCTGTGGCCTATAGTGTAGCCCAGATAAAAAAAAGAAAAAATATTTATTGTAAAATTAGGTGCTAGTTATATTATAATTGTTTCACCTATTAACAAACATAATCTTAAAAGGTAAATGGGTATTGCACTGGTTTCATTTTGCCTCGGAAACAAGTTTTAGACCCAATTAAACTGTGAAATTTGCACACGGGTCCCCTTATATTTATCAAGAGGCGTGGAAAGGACTTTAGTGGAACCAAAAATCGGCTTCAGGGCCTAGGCCCTATGCTGTAGAGATGGGTAAATAGGCTACCCTGACTACCGGTAAGCAATAATAATCAGGAACATTCCTCATGTAGCTTTTCGGTAATTGGTGGCCTTTTATCATTGTCATCGAAGATGTTAAGCTTGTAATAGGAACGACTTGTGTGAACCTGGCAATAACTCCAGCCATAAGTAGTGCGCGCGCCCGAAAAATCTATTGCTGGCCGATTTGCGGCAAAATACGGCCACGTAACATAATACCGATGATGTCACCAGATAGAGGACACTTTAACGGACACGACAGTATCAATATCATGTACCTGGCGGATAAGAAAGAGGGGGTAAAGTCAGCAATAAATAGTGGGCTTGCCCGAAAATATCTATTGCCGGCCGTTTTGCGGCGAAATACGACCGCGTAACATGAAACCGATAATGTCACCAGATAGAGGTCAATTTAACGGACACGACAGTATCAATATCATGTACCTGGCGGATAAGAAAGAGGGGGTAAAATCAGCAATAAGTAGTGCGCGCGCCCTAAAAAATCTATTGCTGGCCGAATTGCGGCAAAATACGGCCGCGTAACATAATACCGATGATGTCACCAGATAGAGGAAATTTAACGGACACGACAGTATCAATATCATGTACCTGGCGGATAAGAAAGAGGGGGTAAAATCAGCAATAAGTAGTGCGCGCGCCCTAAAAAATCTATTGCTGGCCGAATTGCGGCAAAATACGGCCGCGTAACATAATACCGATGATGTCACCAGATAGAGGACACTTTAACGGACACGACAGTATCAGTATCATGTACCTGGGGAATAAGGAAGGGGGGGTAAAGTCAGCAATAAGTAGAGGGCGCGCCCGAAAAATCTATTGCTGGCCGATTTGCGGCAAAATACGGCCGCGTAACATAATACCGATGATGTCACCAGATAGAGGACACTTTTAAGGACAGGTCAGTATGAATATCATGTACCTGGGGGATAAGAAAGGGGGGTAAAGTCAGCAATAAGTAGTGGGCTTGCCCGAAAAAACCTATTGCCGGCCGTTTTGCGGCAAAATACGACCGAGTAACATGAAACCGATAATGTCACCAGATAGAGGACACTTTAACGGACACGACAGTATAAATATCATGTATCTGGGGGATAAGAAAGGGGGAGTAAAGTCGGCAATAAGTAGTGGGCTTGCCCGAAAAAACCTATTGCCGGCCGTTTTGCGGCAAAATACGACCGCGTAACATGAAACCGATAATGTCACCAGATAGAGGACACTTTAACGGACACGACAGTATCAATATCATGTACCTGGCGGATAAGAAAGAGGGGGTAAAGTTAGCAATAAGTAGTGGGCTTGCCCGAAAAAATCCATTGCCGGCCGTTTTGCGGCAAAATACGACCGCGTAACATGAAACCGATAATGTCACCAGATAGAGGACACTTTAACGGACACGATAGTATCAATATCATGTACCTGGCGGATAAGAAAGAGGGGGTAAAATCAGCAATAAGTAGTGCGGGCGCCCTCAAAAATCTATTAATGACCGATTTGCAGCCAAATACGGCCGCGTATCATAATACCGATGATATCACCAGATAGAGGACACTTTAACGGACACGATAGTATCAATATCATGTACCTGGCGGATAAGAAAGAGGGGGTAAAATCAGCAATAAGTAGTGCGCGCGCCCTAAAAAATCTATTGCTGGCCGAATTGCGGCAAAATACGGCCGCGTAACATAATACCGATGATGTCACCAGATAGAGGACACTTTAACGGACACGACAGTATCAATATCATGTACCTAACGGATAAGAAAGAGGGGGTAAAATCAGCAATAAGTAATGCGCGCGCCCTAAAAGTCTATTGCTGGCTGAATTGCTGCAAAATACGGCCGCGTAACATAATACCGATGATGTCACCAGATAGAGGACACTTTAACGGACACGACAGTATCAGTATCATGTACCTGGGGAATAAGGAAGGGGGGGTAAAGTCAGCAATAAGTAGAGGGCGCGCCGGAAAAATCTATTGCTGGCCGATTTGCGGCAAAATACGGCCGCGTAACATAATACCGATGATGTCACCAGATAGAGGACACTTTAAAGGACACGTCAGTATGAATATCATGTACCTGGGGGATAAGAAAGGGGGGTAAAGTCAACAATAAGTAGTGGGCTTGCCCGAAAAAACCTATTGCCGGCCGTTTTGCGGCAAAATACGACCGCGTAACATGAAACCGATAATGTCACCAGATAGAGGACACTTTAACGGACACGACAGTATCAATATCATGTACCTGGGGGATAAGAAAGGGGGGGGGGTAAAGTCAGCAATAAGTAGTGCGCGCGCCCGAAAAAATCTGCGCGACTTGAGTGGCTGCGCATATTAGGATTATAGGCCTAATACTTAATGGTAAAAGTTGGTGATACAAAAGGATCGTCAACCAGTCTAGTCGTAAGTTGTCAGTTGTCACGGCTTTGAATCCTCTATCTGGTGACATAATCGGTATTATGATACGCGGCCGTATTTTGCTGCAAATCGGCCAGCAATAGATTTTTTCGGCCGCGCGCACTACTTATTGTTGATTTTACCCCCTCTTTCTTATCCGCCAGGTACATGATATTGATACTGTCGTGTCCGTTAAAGTGTCCTCTATCTGGTGACATCATCGGTATTATGTTACGCGGCCGTATTTTGCCGCAAATCGGCCAGCAGTAGATTTTTCGGGCGCGCCCTCTACTTATTGCTGACTTTACCCCCCCCCCCTTCCTTATCCCCCAGGTACATGATATTGATACTGTCGTGTCCGTTAAAGTGTCCTCTATCTGGTGACATAATCGGTATTATGATACGCGGCCGTATTTTGCCGCAAATCGGCCAGCAGTAGATTTTTTCGGGCGCCCGCACCACTTATGGCTGACTTTACCCCCCCTTTCTTATCCCCCAGGTACATGATATTGATACTGTCGTGTCCGTTAAAGTGTCCTCTATCTGGTGACATAATCGGTATTATGATACGCGGCCGTATATTTTCGTAAAATGTCCAGCAATAGATTTTTTGAGGGCGCGTGCACTACTTATGGCTGACTTTACCCCCCTTTCTTATCCCCCAGGTACATGATATTTATACTGTAGTGTCCGTTAAAGTGTCTTCTATCTGGTGACATTATCGGTTTCATGTTACGCGGTCGTATTTTGCCGCAAAACGGCCGGCAATAGATTTTTTCGGGCAAGCCCACTACTTATTGCTGACTTTACCCCCCCTTTCTTATCCCCCAGGTACATGATATTCATACTGACATGTCCTTTAAAGTGTCCTCTATCTGGTGACATCATCGGTATTATGTTACGCGGCTGTATTTTGCCGCAATTCGGCCAGCAATAGATTTTTGAGGGCGCGCGCACTACTTATTGTTGATTTTACCCCCTCTTTCTTATCCGCCAGGTACATGATATTGATACTGTCGTGTCCGTTAAAGTGTCCTCTATCTGGTGACATCATCGGTATTATGTTACGCGGCCGTATTTTGCCGCAAATCGGCCATCAATAGATTTTTTCGGGCGCGCGCACTACTTTTGGCTGACTTTACCCCCCCTTTCTTATCCCCCAGGTACATGATATTGATACGGTCGTTTCCGTTAAAGTGTCCTCAATCTGGTGACACTATCGGTTTCATGTTACGCGGTCGTATTTTGCCAAATAACGGCCGGCAATAGATTTTTTCGGGCGCGCGCACTACTTATGGCTGACTTTTACCCCCCCTTTCTTATCCCCCAGGTACATGTTATTGATACTGTCGTGTCCTTTAAAGTCTCCTCTATCTGGTGACATCATCGGTGATATGTTACGCGGCCGTATTTTGCCGCAAATCGGCCATCAATAGATTTTTTCGGGCGCGCGCACTACTTTTGGCTGACTTTACCCCCCCCTTTCTTATCCCCCAGGTACATGATATTGATACAGTCGTTTCCGTTAAAGTGTCCTCTATCTGGTGACACTATCGGTTTCATGTTACGCGGTCGTATTTTGCCAAATAACGGCCGGCAATAGATTTTTTCGGGCGCGCGCACTACTTATGGCTGACTTTTACCCCCCCTTTCTTATCCCCCAGGTACATGTTATTGATACTGTCGTGTCCTTTAAAGTCTCCTCTATCTGGTGACATCATCGGTGATATGTTACGCGGCCGTATTTTGCCGCAAATCGGCCATCAATAGTTTTTTTCGGGCGCTCGCACTACTTTTGGCTGACTTTACCCCCCCTTTCTTATCTCCCAGGTACATGATATTGATACGGTCGTTTCCGTTAAAGTGTCCTCTATCTGGTGACACTATCGGTTTCATGTTACGCGGTCGTATTTTGCCAAATAACGGCCGGCAATAGATTTTTTCGGGCGCGCGCACTACTTATGGCTGACTTTTACCCCCCCTTTCTTATCCCCCAGGTACATGTTATTGATACTGTCGTGTCCTTTAAAGTCTCCTCTATCTGGTGACATCATCGGTGATATGTTACGCGGCCGTATTTTGCCGCAAATCGGCCATCAATAGATTTTTTCGGGCGCGCGCACTACTTTTGGCTGACTTTACCCCCCCTTTCTTATCCCCCAGGTACATGATATTGATACGGTCGTTTCCGTTAAAGTGTCCTCTATCTGGTGACACTATCGGTTTCATGTTACGCGGTCGTATTTTGCCAAATAACGGCCGGCAATAGATTTTTTCGGGCGCGCGCACTACTTATGGCTGACTTTTACCCCCCCTTTCTTATCCCCCAGGTACATGTTATTGATACTGTCGTGTCCTTTAAAGTCTCCTCTATCTGGTGACATCATCGGTGATATGTTACGCGGCCGTATTTTGCCGCAAATCGGCCATCAATAGATTTTTTCGGGCGCGCGCACTACTTTTGGCTGACTTTACCCCTCCTTTCTTATCCCCCAGGTACATGATATTGATACGGTCGTTTCCGTTAAAGTCTCCTCTATCTGGTGACATCATCGGTGATATGTTACGCGGTCGTATTTTGCCGCAAATCGGCCAGCAATAGATTTTTTCGGGCGCGCACACTACTTATGGCTGGAGTTATTGCCAGGATCACACCAATATAGGAACGTACACTCAATCAGTCATATCTCACAACTAATCTCCCCTATTATATTTTCTCTTTATCCTACCTTACATACATTGATTTTAACAAGGGTACCACACCTCCACCACCTAGAAACTCTTCCTCATCGTATGCACGATCAATCCAACAAAAACATAGGCCTACCTATCAGTACACCTACCAATACACCTACCAGTTTAAGTTAGGCCTACCTCTAATTTTCACTTTCATTTCGTCGTTACACGCTTAACATTTAGGAGTCTGCTGAACCAAACCTTCTTGAATCAATTTAAGTTAAAACATGGTTTCGGTAGGCCTAGCCTATTTTAAAAAATGTTGACAAACTTCATGGTAGATATCGAACAAAATCAAAATTGATATTTCCTATACCGATAATAGGCCTATAGCCTGTTACAGGTTCTCTGCGGAACTATAGCCTTCCTATCGGTAAAGTTTACACAAGCAAAGTTAACTCACCTTTTAGGCTGATGTTGTGAAAGTCTGAACTATTTGTGTAGGGAATTGTTTCTGGAATTGGTTTGGTTATTAGGCCTACTTTATTGTTCCACGAGCCAAGTCTAATGAATTCGTTTAATGAAGGTCCTTTGCTCAGATCTAACTTAGATTTAATATTTTTTGTGTCAACACAGTAGTATTTATTTGATAACACCATTGACCAAGGCCTAGGCCTATTAGTCACTGTTGGCATTTTACTTGGTCGTGCGAAGTTTTTAAAGCAAAAATCACAAATGATTCCCTGAAAATTCCAGTATTTCATAGTGTATTGTAATGATTCAAAATATAACTTATTTTTTATTTACTACTTTCGTTTCTAATAAAATGATGGGCAACTACAGGATAAAACATCCATAACCTAAAAAAGCATTGAACGAACTGAGACATTGACAAATGACATTGAATTGAATTGAAAGGATAAGTTACATTTTTTTTATCTAGTTTGCCGATTTTTAGCAGGCTTCGTTTTAATAGACCAGGCAGCCTCGATGTACACTGAGTTGTGGTTGCTTCCAGTTCATCCTGCAATTAAGGTTATTTGTTAGTTTACAAATCTATATATTAATTTGAAACTGTTTTACTTTGTCACAGCTATTTTGAGAGAACGGCCGGGCGTAGAAACTCGGTAGAGGTGTCTAAAGAAAGGTCTTGGTCCGTAGATGAGCCATCAAAAGAGAAACAAACATGGCGAATTCACTTAAGGGCTCTGCCCCCGTGGCCTTATTCCCATCCCATGTTATTCTTATGGAGGGAAACGGGGTTTTTGTCACAGCTAATTTGAGAGAACGGCTGGGCGTAGAAACTTGGCAGGGGTCTCTAAAGAAAGGTCTTGGTCTGTAGATGAGCCATCAAAAGAGGAAAGAGGTAAATTCCCTTGGGGCTCTATCCCAGAAGCCTTTAAATCAGTGGAAAATCCTAATATCACAGTAACTTTTAAAATTATTTCTTATGGAGTTAACTTATATCTATTGTATGGGTTGGTTTCTGCCTTTTTTACCACTTCTTGGAGATTGTACGTAGGTGATATTCTTACTAGCGTCTAGACTGCCAGTGCAAGTCCGAGGATCGGAGGATCGTGGATCAGATCAGGAGATCACCCCCCACCACCGCACCATGTCGTACGCTTCCGAATCATACCGGCCGGCGCATCAGCATAGCTTATCTAACTGTTCGCGGAAAATTGTTATCTGTATCACTGTCGCTGTCAAAACGTATAGTTTGTAGATTAAATTTGAATTAAATATAATTAAACTATCATAACCTAACCAAACTTGCTGATAATGATAAACTCGAATGAAGGTTTACTAATCGAAAAATAGCTCTGTTCTAAAAATAAAATTATAAATGTCTCAAATTCAATTTTACAATCTTTTAATTATAAAATTAAACTGTCATAACCTAACCAATCCAACCAAACTTGCTGATATGACAAAATTGTTGACAAAAAGTTAGTGCTCCCGATGGGATTCGAACCTGGCACCTTCAGATTATCAGCCCGACACGTTATCCACTACACCACAAAGGCTCATAACTCAGTTCCGTATCGTTGCAGTAATCGTTAACGTCACGCCATCGGCACTGAGCGGTGGTGGGGGGTTTTTCGATCTGATCCACGATCCTACCGATCCTAGGAGTTGCACTGGCAGTCTAGATGCTTATGATATACTTTGGCATATTGCATCTGTAGACGAAACTTGGGTTGGTGTAATTATTACAATTACAATGGAAAAGAGCGAGAAATCTTGGACAAATTGATATAGGCTAAAAATAAAACTGAATTAACACTGTGCTACATTTCTTGAGCAATCATTTAAAAACCCGATTTGCAAACAATGGAAACATAGAAAAAGTCATAGAACACAACCAAGTAAAAGAATTAGAAATAATGTTTTTTCCTACAGTCACCCGACAAAGTTGGCTTCCTTGTACTGTTTATAGTACAGAAAGCTGCTAATTGCTGCATATTTATACTTTGCCGTACGGTTTATACTTTGCCGCACATCAGGATTCCAACGAAACAACACAAAACAGCGTGGTTCCATTATGCACGTAATCCGTGTACGCTTGGAAATAGGTTGGCAACACTTAAAGATAATTATACTATGAGCAGCTGATTGACTATTATAACTACGATTTAACCTGTCATTTCGTGTTTATAGTTTCGGTATTTCTGAACTTTCTGGACTTTTCTTTTAAACGTTTTTAAAACCTTCCTACGATCTTAATAAACAAGAAAATACCTTTTAAGCATTTTTTTTAGGCGCGGAAACCATTTCAAATTACAAAAACATACGGAACTATATTCTCAAAACGCGGAGCACATTTCTTGCCGAGGAAAAATAGCGGAGTGATATGGACCGCGGGTACTACCTTCTCTAGGCCACCATTTGTGTTGCCAGCTGAACCTAAAAACGTGTTGCATAGTGTTTGAAAGACTAATTATTTATATGCTTTATAGTGACTGTAGGAAAAATATAATGTGTAACACGAGTGAAAAAGGCCTTTGCTGCACTCGAGATCATTCCACACTCGCCTGCGGCTCGTGCGTAAACATTGCTCTCGTGTGCAGCAAAGTGCCACTTTCACCACTAGTTACACAAATAACTATTACGCCACACTACATTATTTTGACGACCTTCCCACGCAAGGATTTAGTCCAGAAAACAGCTGTTTGCCGCCAGCTTATTCAAATGGGGTTTCATTGCGTACTACTGTACTGTAATGAGTTTTACCGGACACCAATCAGCTGATTATACTGTATTTGGGTGGCACTGGCAATGAGTAGTTATAAACAAAAAAATAACCTCTCTTAGAGGTTATGACTAGTGATTGTTAGTTCTTTAGTTGGTGGTAATATATAAGGATTTGTACAGATTTAGTAGTATGGCGTAAACTATCGTACGTCACTCGTCCAAAATATGTTTACCGGACTCGTATGGTAATCCCGTACTCGACTTCGTCTCGCACGGGAACGACCACACTCGTCCGGCAAACACTTATTTTCAGGACTAGTAACGTAATATACTATTTCACACTAATAACACTAAAAAACAAGATCAACTTTTTGAAAAATGATAAGACATCTACAAAAGATTTTGATTATATCTAACTGTTGTGTAGATCGTGAGAATCTCCATAATCTTTGAGTCGCCTGTAATGCTTCGCAATTGCTCGAATTCGAGCAACAGGTACACAAGTTGTTATTAATTGAACATGAATGTGCACAATCAATTACATTAGGTATAGATTATAACTGGAGTCACTACTCTGTAAAACATTAGAGAAAAACGTGCCACTGTTTTTGCTGGTTTGTTTTCGGTGTTTTGTGTTGTTAGGTTGGCCGTGTGATTGGTTTGTGGGATGCTGTAAAATTCCAATTCATTCTAATCCAACCATACTATTTAGGCCTATTTGGGATTATTCGTTATTTCTAGGATTTATATCAAAAACTTATTTAAGTTGTTGCCCGTTAAAATCCGTGTATTTAAAGTTATTTTGAAACATTATAAAATTTTTTTTATAGTAAATAAATACTAACTTATTTACCCCTTTTCAAGCTATGTGGTGAAAATAGGCTAGTCAAGTTTCCTAGTTGAGCGGAGCGAGCGAAGCGAGCGAAGCTCTTATACGTCGACTCTTATGCATTTCGTAATACGCAAACTCCTCCTAGACGGCTGAATCAATCGTTTTAAAATTTTGCATGGTGATAAAGACCATATCGGTGAGTGCCAACATCTATATGGCGTTAAAAAAATCTCTCAGGAATCCGCCCCACTGGGTCTCAAAGTTTCAATGTAATCCTTATGGAAGCAGTATTTGACACATAAACAAAAACATATGATCAGCTGTTGACTTTTGAATGCAGTAGATATAGAAATAGCTGATAGCATTAGTCCACAGATATTAGAACAGAAACGGTATGGATCATAAATATAATCAAATGACGTCACTAGCTTGAGGTCCGTGACGTAGGAAGTGGTGAAGGAAGTAGTAAAGGTAAGCAGTCTGGAGTGTGGAAACTGTTTATGACGATTAGATTTAGGTATCTGCAATCCTAAAATGCTATGAAAAGGGAAGGAAACAGGTCCGTGACGTAGGAATTGATGAAGGAAGTAGTAAAGTCGAGCTGTTCGATGTATGGGATCTGTTTATGACCGCATTAGATAAAGGTATTTGCAATCCTAAAATGCTATGGGAAGGGAGGAAAACAGGTCTGTGACGTAGGAAGTGGTGAAGGAAGTAGTAAAGGCGAGTTTTTCGGAGTGTGGGAACTGTTTATGACGATTAGATTAAGGGATTTGCAATCCTATGATGCTATGGCAATGGAGGGAAACAGGTCCGTGACGTAGGAAGTGGTGAAGGAAGTAGTATAGGCGAGTTGTCCGGGGTATGGGATCTGTATATGACCATTAAATTAAGGTATTTGCAATCCTATGATGCTATGGCAATGGAGGGAAACAGGTCCGTGACGTAGGAAGTGGTGAAGGAAGTAGTATAGGCGAGTTGTCCGGGGTATGGGATCTGTATATGACCATTAAATTAAGGTATTTGCAATCCTATGATGCTATGGCAATGGAAGGAAACAGAGGTCCGTGACGTAGGAAGTGGTGAAGGAAGTAGTATAGGCAAGCACTCCGGACTGTGGGAACTGTTTATGACGATTAGATTAAGGTATCTGCAATCCTAAAATGCTATGGAAAGGGAGGGAAACAGGTCGGTGACGTAGGAAGTGGTGAAGGAAGTAGTAGAGGCGAGTTGTCCGGAGTGTGGGAACTGATTATGACGATTAGATTAAGGTATCTGCAATCCTAAAATGCTATGGAAAGGGAGGGAAACAGGTCCGTGACGTAGGAAGTGGTGAAGGAAGTAGTAGAGGCGAGTTGTCCGGGGTATGGGATCTGTATATGACCATTAAATTAAGGTATTTGCAATCCTATCATGCTATGGGAATGGAAGGAAACAGAGGTCCGTGACGTAGGAAGTGGTGAAGGAAGTAGTATAGGCAAGCACTCCGGACTGTGGGAACTGTTTATGACGATTAGATTAAGGTATCTGCAATCCTAAAATGCTATGGAAAGGGAGGGAAACAGGTCGGTGACGTAGGAAGTGGTGAAGGAAGTAGTAAAAGCGAGTTGGTCGGAGTGTGGGATCTGTTTATGACGTTTAGATTAAGGTATTTGCAATCCAATAATGCTAAGGGAAGGGAGGGAAACAGGTCCGTGACGTAGGAAGTGGCGAGGGAAGTAGTAAAGGCGAGTTTTTCGGAGTGTGGGAACTGTTTATGACGATTAGATTAAGGGATTTGCAATCCTATGATGCTATGGCAATGGAGGGAAACAGGTCCGTGACGTAGGAAGTGGTGAAGGAAGTAGTATA